AACCGGAGTGATGCTAACCCTGACCTTAGCAAGAGCAGTGCTTCGCAGAATCTACCACCAGATCGGAAACGCGACCCACTGAGAAGACCCGGCGAGAAACTTAATGGGCTGTGTCTATGGGTTAATTCGCTCGTCGAGCCCTTCGTCGCAAGCGACGGGTTCGACGAGAACGGTTACCGGACGTTGGGGTACCGAGTTCGACAAGTACGCTTACCGATTCAGAAGACTGTTTCCACTGTCACGCGCTCGACATAATAACGATGCACTTCTCTTCCGCATTATCGCAAAGAAGTCATCTGTGTGAGATGTCGCACAGTGGGGATGCACTACAAAAGCGGGGCGTCATACGTAGATGACTGAACCAGCTCACGGCCTGCATTGTATTAAGTGGTTACCAGACCCCAAATATCAGAACGTCAATGCGCTCAAACTGTGAGTTTGTCTATTTAGCATTGTTATATGGCTGGAATAGGCAGGATTATGGTATTGAATCGTGCGGCTTAATAATACGTTTCAACATAATTTTTTTGGAAAGAGGAGTGCGGCGCTTTTGACTTTCTTCCTACAGAAGCGAGGGACATCGATGATCGAAGGTTAAGCGTCCCATCAGACCACTCCTGAGGTCGCCCACCCCAGAACCGGAGGAGATAGGAGAGACGAAACAAAACATCATACCATCAGTAAAGATTAATCTATACTAATATATAAATCTACAGTGGTTTTTACGGATGTTCCGTTATAACTATTGAAACATTCATCCGATTGACTTGAAATTTGGTGTCCACGTAGAAAATACATGTACTTAATGGATAGGCTAATATTTATATGAGTGTTGGACTCCCTACACCAGTTGCGGGGGCGTTAATGATGAGAATGTTTGTGGGGGGGGGTGAGAAATAATAATGTTGATTTTAAATGCCCAGCGAAGCGGTCGGGTATAGCTAGTTATAATATAAAATTATACGAACATATTAGATAAAAGGAAACATTGACAATTTTAATTTGTCGTCTTGTAAATATTAAATGCAACAAAGAAACAATGAATGCGTACAAAGTGCAGTTTGATAAAAACTTTAATTGACCGAAAACATTTTGGTGTGTGAAGGATCGTCTAATTAATTTTACCTAAACGTGAAATGATTTTTTTTTATTGCATAGATAGGTGGATGAGCTCTCAGCCCACATGGTTTTAAGTGATTACCGGAGCCCATAAACATCTACAACTTAAATGCCGCCACCCACCTTGAGATATGAGTTTTTTAAGATCTCCGTATAGTTACAACGGCTGCCCCATCCTTCAAACCGAAACGCATTTTAATATATGCATATGAATATATATACGGTACATACACCAAAATAACATTTTTTACAATTTTTGTCTGTCTGTCTGTTTGTTCCGGCTAATCTCTGGAACGGCTGGACCGATTTTGACGGGACTTTCACTGATAGGTAGCTGATGATATAAGGAGTAACTTAGGTAACTTTCTTTAGACTAGCTTCGCCTCGCGGCTTCACCCGCGGTACGACAATAACCGCGGGTTACATCGCAGGACTCAGCTTTCAATAATAAAATTTAATGTTTCCGAAGCGAAGCGAGGGCGGGTCGCTACTATAATTACTTTAATATATTTATTTTAACGTATTTTAATACATTTTTTTTGCCTACCCATTCTAGTAACTTCGTGGTGCTATGCCAGATGCACCGAACCAGTAGATGAGCTCACGGGGCTTAGCCTGGCAAATTTGTTAACACTGACCCTAGCAAGGGCAGTGCTTCGCAAATCTACCATCGCATCGGAAACGCGACCCACAGAGCAGATCCGGCGAGAAACTCAGTGAGCTGTGTCTGTGGGTTAGTTTACTCGCTGAGCCCTTCATCGCAAGCGACGGGTTCGACGAGAACGATGACCGGTGCTTGGGGTACTTAAAAGCAGCGTTAGTCGATCAAGATGATCCGAAATGACGTGATTTGATCCGCAGGATCGGGAATGTAGTTACCGGCGGCCATGATGAGGGTTCTCGTGTCATTCCACTTTCGCACTTTCGCGAAATGGCTCACTAATGTCGACTGCATATATTTACTGGTGGACTTTAGGTCCAATCTCGAGCGTTGTTCTACTCAACAATGACAACCGTGTTACTGTACTGTGTTACTTATAATATTTTGTATTCAAGTTAAATAATATTTGCTATGTGTAGGTGCATTACTATAATTCTAATGTTGTATTTATTATTTTAGCTGTTCTACACACACTCATCACTTTTAATTATTATTCTCATAATCCTCTCGCAGGTCTGCTGGAAGAGATTTTTTAAAGAAATAAACAGTGCCTTTGTACATAATTTTCCTATTACTCTGTACTGTCTTCTTTTTTGTATGTACATAAATAAATAAATAAATGAAATGAAATGATAACCGCTCGGTGGAAGAGCTTCCCTTCGATTACCGATAATCCTCATAACAGCAACATATTTTTTCATACTCGCCCAATCCGCCGCTGTCTTAAGTTTGCCCGATCCAAGTTCAAGCTCCATAGATGGACAGTCCAAATATTGTTCGGAATTTTTATATACGGAAAGTTATCTTAAAATATAGAATAATACAAATAATATAGTTCATTGAATAAAATAATTTGTTTAAATGAACTAACTTTTGCTTTAATCTATTATTTCATGTTATATGTGTAGACTTAAATTTAAATATACAATGGGATACATTAACGTAAAAACAGGCACTTCCAAGAATTTCCACTACGCTAACGAATCGATTTAATTTGTGATTCTTTTATTCAATTAAAAATAATTATTCATGAGTACGTTCTATTTTCAAAGAAACTATCAAAACATTTTACGAAGCTAAGCTATAGGTGTGTCTATGTTACAAAGCATGGCCGTATAGTTTTGATCAAAACAAGAGGGAAATTAGTGAGCGTAAATAGAAATTTAATTCGGAAATACTAAATGTAGCTTGAAACGTCCGCGACCTAATGAGTAAGAAACCTGGTGAGCCTGGTTTCTTACTGGTGGTAGGACCTCTTGTGAGTCCGCGCGGGTGGGTACCACCACCCTGCCTATTTCTGCCGTGAAGCAGTAATGCGTTTCGGTTTGAAGGGTGGGGCAGCCGTTGTTAACTATACTTGAGACCTTAGAACTTATATCTCAAGGTGGGTGCCGCATTTACGTTGTGGATGTCTATGGGCTCCAGTAACCACTTAAAACCAGGTGGGCTGTGAGCTCGTGCAACCATCTAAGCAATAAAAAAAAACCTGATGTCCTCGTATTTAGAGACGTGAATTCTGACATGGTCAAATCTTGAGTTAGGAAATACCATTTTTTTATAGAAAACACGTGCTACACGCATGGGTGTAGTTAGTAAGAGGGAGGGTATAAGGAGGGCACAGCCTACCGGTCAAAACTCATTGCACACTCAAAAAAAAAAAACTTTCGTAACTAGTCGCGGTAGAACATCCCACACCCTTGTAATCTTTGCTGTGAAGCAGCTAGGTATCGATTTGGGACATGAGAGACCTGTTTTACTATACATACTTAGATTCAACTTAGCTAAAACTTAGACCCATGTCTCAAGGTAGGTGGCGGCATTGACATGGTGATGTCTATTACCCCTTAACAACAGATGCACGGTAAGATTCAGAATAATAAAAAACAATTAAAAAAATCGCTTTATTAGTTTTTGAGTCTACACATAGTACTGTGGTTTGTGAGAAGCTGCATATGATGAATTACTCCAGACTAATTTTGTCAGATTAATGACCGATGACTGTTCTTCTGTTAAAAAGTGGCTAGTGGAATCCATACATATATATCCATAATATGCCATTACCTACCCTAATACTAATATATAACAGATATACCATCTTTCATACAGGAAAGCATGATTCACGGTAGGCAGGATGCTGGTTGCTACTTGTGCCGACTCACTAAAAACCTTAATATAGATTGAAGTAGAAATTGTTTTCAAGCGTAACTGAAAATTATGAAATTAATAAAATAAGCAGGAGTTAATTTTTGTCTTGTAGAAACCGTAAACTGCATAAAAAAATGCTCTAAAATAACAGCTGTTTTATGCACCCTAGAATATCTTTCAAGATACTGATTTTAGAATTATTTTAGGCAATTCAATTCATATTCCTGCCCTGTTTTAATTAAATATTTCATAACTTTTATCTTAAATCTTAGAAAATAATAGAAATAATTTAAATAAATAAAATGTTAGATTATTTAATTTTATATTTATACATTTGTGGGAATAGTGGATAATACATTTCATTTGATTTATTAGTTTGAATTATTTGTATATAATGTAGCCAAAATGTAGCCAATGCATGATAATCTTCTTTTGAGCTCTTTTTGTGTTTAATTATAGATGTATGTTTCATAGCAACTTAATAAGGCTGACAACAAACTGAATTAGATTCCTCATAATATTAATTGCACTCTTAATATAATATTCATATGCACTATGGGTTAATCATTTGAAATATATATGAAAAGATTAAAATATCCTAAGTCTGTTAGTTTACAATAGTAATTATAATTTTATAATAATTTATAGTAAGTTGACCAAATCATGTTTGTCATCATCAATATATTGTACACAACACTGATGTTAACAATAATGTTATATTTAATATAAAATAATAGAATGAGAAGTACTTTTATGGTTTAATCTTGCATTTTTTACTGTCTTTATTCCGAAGTTTTCGATACTTACGTAGTCGTGGACTGTTTTAAGTTAATTTATCTATTATATTATTATTATTATATCGATACACCTCTTGAGCTTTGCTCTTGCTAAATATTTAAAGTTATTCGATATTTTAGCTTAATTAAATCTTTAAAGTACGAGATTTATGAATGAAACACGTCTCGTTACGCTACCATAACCATCGTCTTCTTGCACCGACAACGAAACCTAGGTGATCTAACAGCGCTCGGTTAGTCTGAGCTATTCTGGAAATTAGAAAGTCACGAATACTCACCAATGTGTTCTGGTATCCCAGTCCCGATTCTTCGTCCGATCCCTCTTCTTTATTCTCTATCGACTTCATTTTGAGAATTCTTTAGTGCTCTTCGAAAATAATAACAAAACAAAATAAGCTTAGCAAATAACAGACACAGACCGTTGACTTTAAAACTATTTTTTACTATAACAATTTACGAATCAGATCGTTAGAACAGCCATCTTCTTAGTATCAACACAACAGTTCAGAACACACAAGGGCCGAACGTCCGTAATAAGATAATTTGTAATTGAATAAACGCGATTTCATGCAAATTGCTTGTGCGCAAGCGACGGACGAACGTTCTACTCAACCGTTGTACACTGACCGACTGTGGGTCGGACGACACTGACACACAACAAAAAATTGACAATCACGCATTGACTTGACAGTCCGCGTTCGTAATATTGCAAAACAATGACCAAAGACTGGACTGTCAATAAATGCACTAATTACAATGAACTTGAACTTGCTATCAGTGGCTTGAAGTTTACCATGTAAAATAATATTATAAACTTAATTTTTTTATTTATTTGTTATTTGAAAAATAAATCTTATGAAAATAATTATTATGTATTTATTGCATAAATATCAATACATGTGCTTATGACCACATTTTGGATGCGACTGGCTTATGAATTTTATCCATAATCCACAATGCAGATTAAATCAATCACATTATAATGATTACCCGCTTCTTTATTTTTACATATTATGTAGTTCTGTGTTTGTTTTCTGTGCTGTAGGTGGGTAGTGTAAATAGCTCTTGACCACTTGTAGGAGTTGTAGGCTCTTCTCAAAACATTGGGTTCATGTTCCAATTACATCGTTTATCATATCCTTTTACGACTATAATTGAGAGAATAGTGGCCGTAATACTTTTACTGATTAATGCCAGATATGTGATTGGGCCCGTTTATCTCCTAATCCAATAAAAAAATTCCATCATCAAAGTCAAATAATAAATTCTTGTTTTTATACAGTAAAAGTACTTCAGTCTCTCACTTTGTATTTATAGGACAGAAGTCCTTGATCTTGGATCACAGCTGAGCGGTCACGGTTGAGAAGTTAACAATCTTCAAGAAAAACCTGCGTATTTTCGTTGCCAAAAACTTGAATTGAGTTCCAATGAAATGGAAAATTAAATGTGGAATAAAAATAGATGGACTTAAAAATACGATTATAAAATCGATTGATTGTTTTTGATGTTAATACGTCGTTGATAGGCCGAATATTATTCTACAACCATGGCACAGGCTAACCGAAGCATAACTGAAACTAAAACTTAGGCATTCGCATCTGTGGTATTTTTTACTAGTGATGGGCATCCTCGTAAACCACCCTGCCTATTTTTGCCACAAAGCAGTAATGCGCTCTGTTTTAAAGGATGGGGCGGCCGTGGTAAAGAACTGAGACTTTAAACTCATTTCTCTAGGTACATAGCAGTATTGTTGATGTCTATGAGCTCCGGTAACCACTTAACAGCAAGCGGGTCGTGAGCTCGTTCACCGGTTAATGCATTTTACTGGTGGTAGGACCTCTTGTGAGTCCGCGCGGATAGGTACCACTAACCTGCCTATTTCTGCCGTGAAGCAGAAATGCGTTTCGGTTTGAAGGGTGGGGCAGCCGTTGTAACTATACTGAGACCCTAAGAACTTATATCTCAAGGTAGGTGGCGCATTTACGTTGTAGATGTCTATGGGCTACAGTAACCTCGAGGGGTTGTATTAAATTCGCAGAACAAGTGATATAATCTTGTTTAATCACATTGTAATATAGGTACAACGTGTATCGTCGGATTCAAAGTCGTAATTATATTGATACAAAAAATATGCTAAAAAACTGGAACACACGACTACTCCGTGGCAGACTGGCTTCAAATACTTAACAAAAAATATTCATATCGCCACCGAGAACATAAAAAAACTCGACTCGCACGACAACAAAACATTAATATGCTGTCAGGCGTAACTTTTTTAAACAGACATCCTGAATGAGAATCAAATTGACATGACAACTAAAGACGTCAAATGAATACGTCATGAAATGCAACCAAATGCTTGTTAGTTTTATTTTTTTAATCTACCATTTTTATAACACAACCTGGCGTGCATGGTTTCACTTGCCCACTGAGTTTCTCGCCGGATCTTCTCAGTGGGTCAGCGGTAGATTCTGCGAAGCACTACTCTTGCTAGGGCTAGCCACACTTCCGGTTTGAGCCCCGTGAGCTCACCTACTAGCTTAGTGAATCTAGAATAAACTCGCAGGTTACTAGAATAGTGAGGGGAAAAAAATGGGAATTCAGAAATCATTGAGCGCGGTGCATTTTCCCGGTACAGTGTTACTTGGGTCACTCTCTGGTCAGTAGAGCTTCAGTCAATTTGTACAGCAATTGATGCGTCAAACACAAACAAGCTATTTGTTGTATTTATTATCGCATATATATCCGGCGTTGTCCGGGTCATGTCTTCTGCTATGTTATAATGTATCTTTTTTCCCACACCCAATCGCTGGAAGCCACTCGGGACTATTCTAGTTTCACCGGCCTGGTAGGCGAACTCTCAACCCTCAGCCTCAAATAACTTTTTTTTTATTACTTAGAGGTGTGGACGAGCTCACAGCCCACCTGGTGTTAAGTGGTTACTGGAGCCCATAGACATCTGCAACGTAAATGCGCCATCCACCTTGAGATATAAGTTCTAAGGTCTCAAGTATAGTTACAACGGCTACCCCAACCCTTCAAACCGAAACGCATTACTGCTTCACGGCAGAAATAGGCAGGGCGGTGTTATCTACCCGTGCGGACTCACAAGGGGTCCTACCACCAGTAATCTTCTAAGCTTCGCTGAATCTATCGCCGGATCTGAATCGCGACCCAGTGAGAAGACCCGGCGACATTTCAGTGGGTTGTGTCTGTGAGTTAAGTTGCACGTCGGATTCGTCGATGATTCCATGTGCTCGACAAGAATGATGATCACTTCTTGGTATGCCTAAAAGCACCGAGAATGGATCGGGAGCTTCCAATAAGACTTGTTTTTTAGGGATTTAAGTATATAGATATCGCCGGTATGATCCACTGACGGCAATTTTCGGAAAACAATACAATTAAATGGCAAGAGAACGTAAGTAAGAAATGAATTATGAAATATATTTAATTTAAAATAAGTTTTTAAAATAAGTTTTGTAAAATAAAACACCAATTGAAACAAGTCAATAAACTTTATTATAGGATTTAATCAACCGTCACTTATAATACTAATTCATCGCAAAGGTCAAAACATTTCGATAGAAGCATGTTTTTTTACAAAGTAATATTATTTAAGACTTGCTGTCCCGACAGACTTCGTAATGCCACAATCGATAAATAAAAGACCTAAACTTTTGTATAAAATAAACTTAAAACAAACAAAAGAAATCCGTCCGACGGGGGACACATCAAAGGAAAAAACAAAACTGTTATTTTTATTTAATTCCGAGCATTTTCATATTCCTTTTAAACCTTCTCTGGACTTCCACAAATAATTCAAGACCAAAATTAGCCAAATTGGTTCAGCCGTTCTCGAGTTTTAGCGGGACTAACGAACAGCAATTCATTTATATATATAGAAAGATAGATTATCCGAATCATATTCCTTTAAAACTTAGAGGCATCGGTCAGAGACGTCTAGCTTCTTCTCGTAGTTCATGTTCTCGCTTTAATAAGCTTAGAGGAGCCAATAAAGCTAAAGCTAACTACGCTTTTACTATCCCTTGATTACTTCTTATTTTCTTGTCAAAATTACCTAAAATTATCCAAGCCCTAGTGTCACGACATGGTCCAGATCGAAACTTTCAATCCGCGAGCAATGACAGTATATTTACTAAACTATGACGTCACACTAGAATGTATACAGCGCTTGGCTGAGCCTCCGGCATTATTGATGTTCATGAGTCATTGTGATCACTTACCTGGTCGGGCAGGCTAACGCCTAAAGGCCATAGAAAGCCAAACCTATTTGAGTTACCTATAAGACAGCGTGGCGGGTAGCCATCATACAACGCAAGATATTTGACAGATGCCTGAATCTCGCTTACAACATTTTCAAGAGAAGCTTGCTTAAACAAGTTCCGATCAACAAAATTCGAACCGTCGCCGCGTCGGTCTACCGAGCAATATCGCCCGCTCGGTGGGAGATCTTTCCCTTCATCGTTTAAGCCTCCCACAACAGCTTTGTTGGAGATAAAAATTAAAATCATGCTACTGGTAAACATAATTGATCCACACATTCAAAATTTCAAACAGTATTTAGATTTGAAGTATTATAAACAATTGTGCGATCACTTTTACAATAACATATCTATAAAATAGTCTAATCTTCAAGCCTTAAAAATAAATAACACCAAAAAACGAAGTACTAATAGTATAAAAATTATTTTTACAAATAGATTCAGAGTTCGAGACATTAAGAAAAAAAAAACGAAAAATACAAAAAAAATACTTTTGCAATTGAATAGTTCCAGCCTTCAAGGATAGCAAGAAACGCTCATTACGATAATTCAGAGCGACTTCAGGACAAGCCAAGAGAACAGTGTTCCTAAAACTGGATTTGGTGAAAAAGCCATAAATCACATTAGTTACACATTGTCTCTTTGGCAATTACAGAACAATAATTTCTAAGGATTCGTAATTTATGTATGAACGAAGTCTACCAGCTTATTGGCCGAAGCACAGTTTTGACAACTCGAATAGAGATGTGTGTGTATTGATGTTCAGACCACAGAATTACTTTGTTCAAGGTACCTATAGACGGATACGGAAATTATCGATTCCTATCATTATGTGATATTTAAAAAAAAGTTACTTCATTAAAATAAATAGAGAATATCATTAAGTCGAAATCAATATTCCTTATTAAAGACAATTCAAAAACTAGTGGTCGGATATTGACCAATGGTACCAGATAACAAACACCAGCCTTCAGATAAAAAATTAATCGTTAAAAAATAAGGACACCCAAAAAAAAGTACACAAATATAATATGTACTTCTTCTGTTTTTGAAGTCTGTTAAAAACTCGCAACATGATTTATAGGTTTTTATTCGGGCGCTCATTAAATGTAATGTGTCAGTTTCCCCGCTGATGTCTATATAGTGAGTAGTAGTACAGTACCTAAATTATACACGATAAGGTGATTTTCTTCTACGAGGCTAGAGCTAAGAAGACTTTTAAAACCTCAACTATAGCTTTAGTTTAAGCCGTTTCTCTTTATCTCCACTGTATTTTACAAAATTTCGGGAACGTTCATTTTTAAACTCCGTGATCAGATACTACCATATTTTTTTATTGCTTAGACATGTGGACGAGCTCACGGCTCCACTCGGTGTTATATAGCTACCGGAGTCCATGGACATCAGTAAAGCCGCCAATCACTTTGTGACATGAGTTCGAAGACTCAATTTTATAGTACCACAGTTGCCCCACCCTTCAACCCGAACTGCATTACTACTTAACGGCAGAAATAGGCCGGGTGGTAGTACCTACCTGTGCGGGCTCACAATACTTCCTACCACCAGTAAATTCACGTGAGTTCCATACTCACCTTGTGACATGTCTTCAAAGTTTTAATTTTATAGTATACAAAAGCTGCCCCACCCTTCAACCCGAACTGCATTACTACTTAACGGCAGAAATAGGCAGAGTGGTGGTACCTACCCGTGCGGACTCACAAGACTTCCTACCACCAGTAAATTCACATGAGTTCCATGTTAGAGATCGAAAAAAGCATTATTACAACGCAATGAACATTCGCGTTTCAAGATAAGACAATATTTACTTAAGTAAATAATACGTATAATAATTAAACAGGGAATAGTCACACACGTCATCTGTTCCCAAAAATTAGGATTCTCTGTACTATTGGAACGGGAGACTGCCATACATACTTAGTTAATGTATCTAGTGTATATATACGAGTATATAGATATTTAACACCCGCACAAAGAGCAACAACACTGTTTCATCACACGAAGGTTTGCCCGATATGACTCACGACCTAGCAGTCATGAGCGGTAAGTACTGCCTATCTATAGGAACAACCAGGCAATAGGATGCATTAGCTTGTCCTCCTCCAATTTGCTTAAAAATAACTTTAAACTACTTCCTAACTTTAAATCACTAGTCCTACATTAATACGTCTGTCTTCATTAAAATCGGTTCCATCTATTTAAACCGCGTAGCCCTTTGAAGGGTTCGTGTACAACTACGTCACTGACTACATAGTGCCGTTACGTGTATAAGCGGATCAGATGTACTGGGCGAACTGTAGCCAGTACGTCGCGTTGAGAACGGAGAACAGTAGGGGGAAGAACACCCTTGAGAAGCGGTCGATGTTGATGGCTCGCATGCGGGCCTTAGCCGCCTCCGCCGCTTCCTGTACCAGCGAGGAGTTACACAGGTTTTTGTAGCAGACAAGGCTTTGAAGTAACACGTCAACGACCAGTTTACTGGTGGTAGGACCTCTTGTGAGTCCGCACGGGTAAGTACCACCACTCTGCCTATTTCTGCCGTGAAGCAGTAATGCGTTTCGGTTTGAAGGGTGAGGCAGCCGTTGTAACTATACTTGAGACCTTAGAACTTGTATTTCAAGGTGGGTGGCGCGTTTACTTTGTAGATGTCTATGGGCTCCAGTAACCACTTAACACCAGGTTGGCTGTAAGCTCGTCCACCCACCTAAGCTATAGAAAAAAGGTATTCGCCGGAGTTTTTTATTTATTTTATTGCATAGATGGATGGACGAGCTCACAGCCTCGAACCTCAAACCTGGTGTTAAATGGCTATCGGAGCCCATAGACATCTAAAACGTAAATGCCACCATCCACCTTGAGATATGAGCTCTAAGGTCTCAGTATAGTTACAACGGCTGCTCCACCTTCAAACCGCATTACTGCTTCACGGCAGAAATAGGCGGGGTGGTAGTACCTACCCGTGTGGACTCACAAGAGGTCCTACCACCAGTAATTACGCAAATTATAGTTTTGTGGGTTTGATTTTTATTACACGATGTTATTTATTCCTTCACCGTGGAAGTAAATCGTGAACATTTGTTAAGTACGTATTTCATTAGAAAAATTGGTACCCGTCTGCGAGATTCGAATACCGGTGCATCGCTTAACACGAATGCATCGGACGTCTTATCCTTTAGGCCACGACGACTTCAAAATCAGGGTAGTGAGCCTCGAACTCTGCATATTATACCAATAAGTCCTTAATTTGTGTGTATCTTTGTCATCTGCCCCTAAGGTCCGGTTCGATGGTACCCTCATTGTAATGTTTGCGGTAACCAAATTGGTACTAAAAATGACCCAGGGTTGGGTTGCCGGCGAGGGCTTATGAGCATCATATAAGCAGTCGTGCCGCCTTTCAATTGACATGAAGGACAGTTAATGGATGGTTCCAGCAGGCAGCCACGGATTATTCTTGCGTTTGACAAGCAATCCGAATTCTACAAGAATTTTATCTAATAATAAAACAATTGATGCACAAAAAGTTCGTACCTTGGGCTTACCAGCGCCGTCTCCCAGGACGATATTCACCAGACAGTACTCCATCAGAGCCATAAACACGAACCTGTTGGTGTTGGATAAACAAACAATTTGAAGTATATATATAGCTCACGGCAAGTGGTTACTGAAGCCCGTTGGCATCAACAACGTAAAGGACGCCACCCAACTTGAGCTATAAGCTTTTACAGCACAATGCCCCACCCTTCAAACCGAAACGCATTACTGCTTCACGGCAGATATAGGCGGGTAGTTATGTAAATCGCAATTTTTTGGGGTTTCGTTTTTATTACCTGGGTTAAATACCTGCATGCTGGTGGTACTGGGTGATTCTGGTCCATTCAGACAGGTCGTTAGTCTGCCTTTGAAGGCAATGATACCGGAATACTCACACAGTACAAACAGACATAAATGCATCGACCGCTTTCAGATAAGACACGGGAGGTAGTTGCGCTTGGGACTTGGCGTGTTGAGTGGATAAAGTCAGCAGCGAGGTCACTCCCAGCGTTACCCGAGCTGGAGCCGCGTCGGGTTTTATCCAGAACGAGACCCACTGTAAGGAAAATTTAAACGAATTAGTCATTGAAAGACCTTTTTGAAATTAATAATGAAGGGATACGGTTCATAGGTAAGTTTGAGGTGTTCTCAACTAGGTCCTGACTGAAGACGCTGCCACACAGCTTGGTATACCATTGAAATATCAGTTGCTATGGAATAGCGGTTATCCTCCCATGAGACTGGGATGCAGTTTAAATTCATTGGGAAAAATATGTGTTTCTTTTTTTTATTACTTAGATGGGTGGACGAACTCACGGCCCACCTGATGTTAAGTGGTTACCGAAGCCCATAGACATCTACAACGTAAATGCGCCACACAACTTGAGATATAAGTTCTAAGGTCTCAAGTATAGTTACAACGGCTGATCCAGACTTCAAACCGAAACACATTACTGCTTCACGGCATAAATAGGCAGGGTGATGGTACCTACCCGTGCGGACCCACAAGAGGCCCTACCACCAGTACGTTGTTTCGACCATATCTACAATTTTCTAGAAAATTCCTGATGGAACGTTTGACCTATATCGATAATGTTGTTGGGACCGTTAGAACACAATAGCTGACAAATATCCGTTTTTACTTTCTGATTACATAATATACTATGGCGTTACTCATACCGGCATAACAATATTTAAAGTGACATAAAGACGAATTCTCCAAATGTTATTGTCAAGGGACCAAACCTCATGCAAGATTTCGTAATAGCGTAGGGGGCGCGCTCGGTATTTGGATCTGGACAGTCTGTAGAGGTTGGGCCCAAGGATATTTTAGGGTCCTACCCACCAAACGACTCCCCTTGCACTCTCTCGTCCGATGTCGGATCTCCGTTATAGCTTTGATAATCTTTAGTTCAACGTCAGTTGTACTCATGTGTTTCTATATTTTTTTATGAAGGATGGATTACTGGTGGCCCAATGGCTCAGCCAGGAGAGGATGGGGATTTGCTAACAGATGCCCGAGCGCCTCCATAGGAGACTGTGTTTCTATTAACATAATAATATGTACGAAATCCCATTTTCACACTGTGAATCTTATATATATCTTTAAAGGAGCAATTCTTGTATATAAATATATATATAATCGGAAACGGCTCCAACGATTTTCATGAAATTTAGTATACAGGGGATTTCGGGGGCGATAAATCGATCTAGCTACGATTTATTTTCAGAAAATGTTATTTTATTCTTGTTTTCAGTAACCAGTTCATATTTTTTTATTATTCTGTTGGTAAGATCGAAAAATATAGAAGCGGCTACGATACCGCTGAGCTAACTTTGGAACGACCGAAAATTATTCTTGGCCAATAGGATTACGGTTTAATATTCAAGTACACTTTATTTTTATCATAAATCCTTCATGACCGGAATTACAGGATTATAACGATAAAAGTTTAAATTGTTTAAACGACCAGATTAAAGTATAATTGAGACTCAAAACCGTGTCTCAAGGTGAGTGGTTCTTATGATGGGTCAAGTTTTTACTGCTGGTAAGGATTTCTTGTGGGCGCACTCGGGTAGGTACCACCACCCTGTTTATTTCTGCCGTGAAGCAGTAATGCTTTTTGGGTTTGAAGGGTGAAGCAGCTGTTGTACTGTTACAACTGAGACCTTAGAACGCTTGTCTCAAGGTGAGTGGCGGCATTTACGTTGTAGTTGTCTATGGGCCCCTGGTAACCACTTAGCACCGGGTGGGCCGTGAGCTCGTCATCTGAACAATAAAAATAAATTGACATCGCAGTATCTATGGGCTACACTAATTATTAAACACAAAGTTAAAAACGCGAAGAATTTTTTTTTCAAGCAAATTATTTTGTTTGTCGCATTGACCTAACGCGTCTGCCATAATAAATTCCAAGGTTAATTGTTAAAGCAATTTCTGAGGTGCTCGTGGCCTGCGAGATAAGATGCTCGGTGCAATCGTATCGGGTGATGCGACTATACCGATGTTCGAATCCCGCAGATAGGTGCCAATTTTTCTATTACACGGTGGAGTTATGATCTGTGCAGGGTGGCTGGTAGAAACTGGATGAGAGAAGCCGAGGATCGTGCTCAGTGGCGAACAATTGGAGAGGCCTATGTCCAGCAGTGGACTGCTATAGGCTGATGATGATGATGATGATGACTAAAATATGAACTGAACACATATGAATTCCACGAAGAAGGACTAACATGCTTTTGTTTGCGTGTTTGATTTTAAATAGTGTATTTAAATAGTTAAATAGCATAATTACTGGTGGTTGGGCGTTTTGTAAGCCCTATCACCGGTACACTGATGTAATATTGCGTGAACACTGCTCTGTGCTTCATTGCTATTCCATCAGCCCACAGCTGGACATAGCCTCCCCCATGCCTCCTCAACCACCAACCGATCCCAAGGCCCCAACCTCTAGTCATCCGGCCATCTTGTGGGAGACTTACCCATGCTACATCTTCCGATACGCGGTGTGCTTAATGATAGTTTTTTTAACTATTCGATCGAGTAAAAGTTAACGCAAATTTGTATGCAGTTGGAATGTTGGCCATGGAATGTTCCAACTCCATACAAATTTGAGTTAACTTTTACGCGATCGAGAAAGTTAAGAAACTCGCACTAAGCACACAGCTCATTCTTCAGCAAGTCCAACAGTCGCTTTTTAGGACACCCATCGAAAGAGTTTTTTTTTTATCCTCGCTATGTTGATAGCCTTGAGAGGCTATATCAGCTTCGCCCTAACATGTAGGTGAGCTCACGGGGCTCAAACCAGAGTGGTGCTAACACTGGCCCTGGCAAGAGCAGTGCTTCGCAGAATCTACCACCAGATCGGAAACGCGACCCACTGAGAAGATCCGGTGAGAAACTCGGTAAGCTGTGTCTGTGGTTTAATTTGCTCGTCGAGCCCTTCGTCGCAAGCGACGGGTTCGAAGAGGACGGTGACCGGTGCTTGTGGTACTTAAAAGCACCGTTAATGGATCAGGAGGATCCGTGATGACGTACTTTGGGTGACGTCGACGGTTTACCATTCGGTCTACAGGATCGGGTATATAGCTTCTAGCGGCCACGACGAGAGGGTTCTCATGTCGTGACGCCTTTTCAAAGTCAAGACTGAGTCAAGTTCCAGGTCAGCAGGTGCTATGACTCCCGCAACTCAATCAAAAATAATTATTTGAATGTTCTAGAAAATCAATAAAATTGTATCGAGAGTATTCTAACAGTGCCGACAATGACCTCCCGCTATTCGATGAAACAAAAATAGGAAGCGCAGTATTTAATTGACACGGAGACTCAAAAAGAGAAAACTAATGTATTTGTTCCGCTATCTTGAACACCTTCGAGATACTCACCGACATGATAACGATGAGGCAGGTCGGTATGTAAGTGTTGAAGAGGTGGTAGCCAAGTCGCCGTTTTAACTTGAAGATCACTTCCAGACAAGTGAAGTTACCTGAAATGTCAAAATGAATACCTTTGTTAATTTTTTTATTCCTCAGTTGGGTGAATGAGCAAACGGCCCACCTGGTGATAAGTGGTTACTGGAGCCCATATACATCTACAATGTAAATGCGCCACACACCTTGAGATATAAGTTCTAAGGTCTCAAGTATAGTTATGACGGCTGCCCCACCCTTCAAGCCGAAACGCATTACTGCTTCAGGGCAGAAATAGGCAGGGTGGTGGTACCTACCCGTGCGGGCCCACAAGAGGTCCTACCACCGGTAATTACGCGTATTATAATTATGCGGGTTTGATTTTTATTACACGATGTCATTCCTTCACCGTGGAAGTCAATCGTGAACATTTGTTGAGTACGTATTTCATTAGAAAAATTGGTACCCGCCAGCGGGATTCGAACACCGGTGCATCGCTCAACACGAATGCGTCGGACGTCTTATCCTTTATGCCACGAAGACTTCTCAAGTTTTGGAATTAACTTTAACGGGTGGTTGTCATTTGGCATTTTGTTTTCCGACGTGAATAACCCGATTACGATATTGTGATTGTGATTTTGTGTTTAAGCGCTCGGGTTCGACTCTAATATTATTATAGTCTCAATCTCTTCGAAACGATATTCGATTTTTCTATTATTTCCGTTAAGCATTTTGGTCTGGTCTGGTTTAATTGGTCAGTAAATCAACTGGTACTTTGGGGAGCAGAGACTGACACAACTCTTTATGCCGGGAAAATGCAAAGTTGGTTTCATTTTGAATAACAAATTTAACGCGATTAAAACCGCGTGGCATTTGTCCATCCGCATCCATAGGTATTCAAAATTTTTATTTGAAATTGTTTTGTTTGTTTTTCCTTCTTTTTTTCCTACCTATTCTAGTAACCTCGAGGGGTTATTCTAGATTCTCCAAACTTGTAGATGAGCTCACGGGGCTCAAAACTGACGACATTGCTAACACGAACCCTAGCAAGAGCCGTGCTTTGCATCTACCATCGGATCGGAAGCACGACCCACTGAGAAGATCCGACGAGAAACTCAGTGGGCTTTGTCTGAGGGTTAATTTACTCGTCGAGCCCTTCGTCGCAAACGACGGGTTCGACGAGAACGATAACCGGTGCTTGAGGTACCTAAAAGCACCATTAGTGGATCGGGAGGATCCGAAATGTCGTGTTTTGGGCGACGTAGACTGCTTTTCATTCGGTCCGCAGGATCGGAAATGGTTTGTCCTTCTTTCACGACAAACTAAGTAACGGATGGCCATGTTCTTTTTTTTTAAATGGTAGTTTTAGGTCAGCACTGTGACTTAAGCTACCTTTTATCTCGAAAAAACATTTAATTTACACACTTTTCGTTCACCGCGCGAATGAAGCCGCAGCAGTCATTAAAATATAATTGAGTCATCGACCTCAAGTCTCAAGTCGGGTGAGGTCTATATGATATAATGTTCACAGGTTCGATGTTCACTGAACTCGTCGAGCAAGGTACGAAAACAAGTCAGCGGTGCTAAGTTTCCCTTGAAGTTTTTATCATAATCTATCACACACATTAAAGCAAATGAAAGGATCGCTAGATTGTAAAGTAGGACACAAACTCGTCTGATCTCTTTATGAGTCGCAGATTAAATTCTACATCGGTTTATTAATCTCTTATCTGTGCATTATACGATTTTATTAGCTAAGTCGTCGTGGCCTAAAGGATAAGACGTCCGGTGCATTCGTGTGTAGCGATGCACCGGTGTTCGAATCCCGCAGGTGGGTACCAATTTTTCTAATGAAATACGTACTCAACAAATGTTCATGATTGACTTCCACGGTGAAGGAATAACATCGTGTAATAAAAATCAAACCCGCAAAATTATAGTTTGCGTAATCACTGGTGGTAGGACCTCTTGGGATTCCGCACGGGTAGGTACCACCACCCTGCCTATTTCCGCCGTGAAGCAATAATGCGTTTCGGTTCGAAGGGTGGGGTAGCCGTTGTAACTATACTGAGACCTTAGAACTTATAGGTATCTCGAGGTGGCTGGCGCAATTTACGTTGTAGATGTCTATAGGCTCCAGTAACCACTTAACACCAGGTGGGCTGTGAGCTCGTCCAGCCATATAAGCAATAAAAAAAACCCACCCGTACGCTTCGCTGGGCATTTAAAATAAACATTATTATTTCACACCCCATAAATATTCTCATAATTAACGCCCCTGCAACTGGTGTAGAGAGTCCAACACTCATATAAATATTAGCCTATCCATTAAGTACATGTATTTTCTATATGGAGACCACGTTTCAAGTCAATCAGATTCATGGTTCAGTAGTTATAAAGGAACATCCGTAAAAACCACTGTAGATTTATATATTAGTATAGACTATTCAGTCGCCGCGTCTTCGCCCGGTCTCTTAAGAATATTGTGAAAAGCTCCTAATTTAAAAACACTCAGATTCTAGCAAGTCAAGCCTACTCATATTTAAAACGACTTTTACAAATTACTTACAGTTTTCGTAATCACGATCTACTGATGTAGTGACTTAGTACCTCAAAATATGTCTACGACTTATAAAAAATACAAACCTACACACTACACGAATAGTATTCTTTTTACTGGTGGTAAGACGTCTTAAGAGTTCGCACAGATAGGTACCACCACCCTGTCTATATGTGCCGCGAAGCAGTAATGCGTTTCAGTTTGAAAGGTGGCGCAGCTGTTGTACTACTGTAAAAGCTGCAACTTAGAATCCATGTCTCAACATGGGCGGCGGCATTGACTTGGTTGATGTCTACGGTAATCCGGTCTCCGGTAATAACTTAGCACCAGGTTGGCCGTGAGCTCGTCCACCCAACTAAGCAATATTTAAAAATAAAAAATATTTAAAAAAAATTAACAAAATACGCTGTAATAGAAAATCCACCTAAAAAATCGACTTTTTTAGAATAAAATCATTTTTTCTTACACTATTTTTAATTCAATTTTATTAAAATTTATTTTCTATTCTTTCGTTGGATTTTCTATAAAAGCGTATTTTGTAATTTTTTTCAAATTATTATTTAATTTTATTTTTCATTTTTTAGTTTAATTACAATATTTTCAAAAAAGAAATATTTTTTTTTTTAATTATTGAATTGTCGTCGGTTCTTATTAAGTATACCAAATTTCGAGTTAATCCGACGTTTTGAAGGGAGTCAAAGTCATGTTCAAAGATTCCGTTACATACTAACATACGTCTGAAGCTAATAAAAGCGTATTAAAAAGTGCACATTTGGCTACTAAAATAAAATCAAAGTTAATTTACATTTTTTTTTGTTACTTAGATGGGTGGACGAGCTCACAGCCCACCTGGTGTTAAGTGGTTACTGGAGTCCATTGACATCTACAACGTAAATGCGCCAACAACCTTGAGATATAAGTTCTAAGATCTCAAGTATAGTTACAACGGCTGGCCCATTCTTCAAACCGAAACGCATTACTGCTTCACGGCAGAAATAGGCAAGGTGGTGGTACCTACCCGCGCGGACTCACAAGAGGTCCTACCACCAGTGATAACGCAAATTATAATTTTGCGGGTTTGATTTTTATTACACGATGTTATTCCTTCACCGTGGAAGTCAATCGTGAACATTTGTTGAGTACGTACTTCATCAGAAAAATTGGTACCCGCCTGCGGGATTCGAACACCGGTGCATCGCTCGATACGAATGCACCGGACGTCTTATCCTTTAGGCCACGACGACTTCAGATAATAAAAGCGTATTAAAAAGTGCACATTTGGCTACTAAAATAAAATCAAAGTTAATTTACATAAAGGTATTGAACAATAGGAGAAGGAGCTAAGGATATTACCGGTGGAGTAGACTTGGGTGCAGTCAGCGGTCCTGTTCTGCACGAGCTCCAGTTGAGGCAGCTCTATGTTCTCGTCAACCACGAGCGGCACCTCGGGGTCCCACTGGAAGACCAGGTCGTCGGTCGTGTGCGACACTGGACAGCAAACATTCGAATTATGTATTTTAAAAAAACACGCACACACACTTGTAAAAGTTAATAAAAAAAATTCGAATGAATGAATGTAACTAATAAACTAATGTAACTAATACTTGAGACCTTAAAACTTATATCTCAAGGTGGGTGGCGCATTTACGTTGTAGATGTCTATGGGCTCCAGTAACCACTTAACACCAGGTGGGCTGTGAGCTCGTCCACCCATCTAAGCAATAAAAAAAAAGATCAGCGTTTGAAATTTACGTTTTCATACAGGCGTTTGATGTTTTATAAATAGTTTTTTCTTTTATTTATTTTTATTTAATGACTAGCTTTTGCTCGCGACTGCGTGGAATAGTTACTTTGGCATAACGCAAAATTTTACCACCCCACTTCATTTACGTAGAAAGTGAAAATGTTTGTGAATTATAGAATGTTAAGGAGCTATTTGAGCCCCTATTTTGAAACATTTTTTATTGGTGCTCCACTTGTATTTTTTTATTGCTTGTATTGGCCTTACCGTGATGTTATATAGCCTATAGCCTTCCTCAATAAATGGGTTATCTAACACTGAAAGAATTTTTCAAATTGGACGAGTAGTTTCTGAGATTAGCGCGTTCAAACAAACAAACTCCTCAGCTTTATAATATTAAAGTATAAATAAATACCAAGTTTATAGTATAAATACCAAGAAGGTGATCAGGTGATCAAGGTGACCAATTCAGAATATCAGCGAATTGATAAAAAACTACATAATAAATTTCACCTCACTAAAGCACAAACGACATTACAATACTTAAAAATATCCTGAAATTTATAATAATAATAACAAATTTTATGATCCACTTTAACTCATCCATTAAATTAGCAAATTAGTTTTAAAAACTACAACAAACTAGACATTTTTTTTGGTAAAGCTTGATTCCATTTCATTAGATTAATTTTGATGAAGTTATTTAGCTGAGTTAGAATCCACACCAAATTTTTCTAATACTGCATCAATCAGGAAAAACATAAATTTCTTAAGTTATAATAATTATTAAATCAGCAAATATTCTCCATAAAGTCTTCTATAAAAAAACCCTTGCGAACTATACAATAAATTCAAATTATGCCGGCAGGAGGTTTGTGTGGACAGTACAGTACAGCTAGATATCACCTACCCATTTCGGCTGCAATGCAATCATGAGCTTCGCTTTTAAATATGGGAAGTCGTTACAATTAAGGCTTAGGCCTCATGAGATGTGCTCCGCACTAAACGCTTTGCTTTCCTCCTTTGCCTTTTCACGAGAAAAGGCCTATTATGGCCCGTCATACCGTATGACGTATACCAGCTTCGATAACCACATCTGTACATTAACCAAAAAGTACTATCTTAAAATAGATCTCTTGTCTGCTTCACCCACTTCTAATGTCTATCACTGAATCAAAAGTAACGAACTGTCTTAGAGCTCGGTCCTCAAAGTACATTTACAAGCATTCATAAGATCACTCAGACGATTGTTTATAACGAACCCTCAAAACGTTACCCGAGAATCCCCTTGGTGATAAAATCTCCCCGACTCGCAACGGTCGAGGACTCTTGGCCCACATTCCTGCCCTCAAAGGCATCAACTGTATCGCTGCGACCTTTACGTACGCTTTACTCTTGAGTATGTAACGTGCCTCTCAGGGGACTACGTATAACAACCTCTTTCAATGTTTTTAAGTAGAACGGGAAATGGAATAAATAGGATTGTCGTCGAAGAAAAATTTCGTCGTGGCTTTTGAAGGTTCCGAATTCGTATGTGATTTTCGATGTACAAATTCAAAGGTATGTGAAAGCCACTTAGAATTGTGGAGCTCAGAATGCAAAACCGATAATACACGTACTACGTTTTTCGTATGGAATTATCGCGTTATTACGGATCCTCCCGATCCATTAACGATGCTTTTAGGTACCACAAGCACTGGTCACCGTCTTCATCGAACCCGTCGCTTGCTACGAAGGGCTCGATGGGCGAATTAACCCATAGACACAGCCCACTGAGTTTCTCGCCGGATCTTCTCAGTCGGTTTCCGATCCGGTGGTAGATTCTGCGAAGCACTGCTCTTACTAGGGTCAGTGTTAGCAACACTCCGGTTTGAGCCCCGTGAGTTCACCTACATGATAGGGCGAAGCTGAAGTAGCCTCTCAAGGCTATCAGCATAGGTAGGAAAAATATGGGGAAAACAATATTAAGTCACAAGACTTTCAATTTAAATACGAACACAATCTACCAGTTAAATGATTTTGGTGACACAGATTGGTCTGCTGATACACGTTGCTTCTTAAACACACACTGGTAAGATCGAGTTTGCTTAGTGCGAGCTTTTTAACGTTCTCGATAGCGTAAAAGTTAACTTAATTTTGTATAGAGTTGGAACGTTTACCTACGTTTGCTGCTAAGGGCTCTGCTACAACAAACAAACAAATATGTGCTGTATTCTCCGAGTAGTGAGAAATGTTTTCGAGAATTCAGTAGCGCTGTTATTGCCGCAGACATGTACCTCAATAGCAGGCTCAGTTCAGGTCCTCCCTCCAGGCAGAAGACACCAAAAAATATCAAAACAACTTTTTTATCGATGAAAATCCTTGATCATAATTAGAAGTTGGAGTGTATGCGGTGTCGGCGCTACTCTAGTGCCACTCCGGGACACAAGGAGAGCGTAACGAGCGGCGTCGAGAACATTCTGATGACACTCGACACTTTGCATAGACACCGACATTATATCGGCGGAGATAAGAGCGAGATATTTTTGGAAAAAACTTCTTGTTTGCCGTGCTTCAGATATATTTGGAGACTAAGTGAGATGTTTCAGTGAGGAATATTACTTACGTGTCAGTCATGTGGCTATTAGATGGAAGTCACTTCTAGTCTTGGTGCAAGTACCTCTTTGTGTCAGGAGATTGGTTAATTCTTTTTGTTGAAGACCATCAACTCATATGACATTAACAATTAACAATATTAAGATGAAATAAGGTAAGTCATTGATTTTGAACCAGTTAGACATTTTTTTTGATTGCGTAAAAGGTAATATTAAAACGGTGGCTTTTTCCCCTACCTGGTAGCCGGTGGCTATTCCAGACACCTACGCCTGGACGGTTAGGTGAGCTCTGTGATTTAAAGTTTTTGATTTCAACTATAAAATAATTTTAAACGATAAGAATGAGACGTTCTGGGACAGAATATTGGTACTACAATAATGTACTGATACAGTACAAGATATATTTAGAAACTTCATAAAATGTATCGCAATAAGCATTAAGCATTGCATAAATTAAATTGGTTACAGTGTGAATCATTTGTCGTTTGGAATATGTGGCGGTTTGACTATAACGTCACTAGTATTGTTGATGCGAATTAGCGAAAGCGACCATATTATACCATGGGCTCCATGTTCAAGTGTCTTTGACGACAATAAACTCGTACAGATATCAAGAAAAATACCATAATGTCACTAGTTAAAGTTATATTCATTAATCATTAAGATTCGATTCGACCTTTGGGTCTACTGTCGTTGTTCGTAAGCTACTCGCTAGCTTTCACCACCAACAACATCCCTTAATGCACAAATTAGGCAAAGTCTTGGAAACTAACGACAAACAGGTAGCCTATCAGTTTCAATGAACAGACTATCGGTCGAATCGGTTTAGCGGACACATCGCCGCCCGTAGTATCACCACCCATCTTAAAACTTCCTTTTTTTAAACCTATGCTGATGATAGCCTTGAGAGGCTACATCAGCTTCGCCCTAACGCGTAGTTGAGCTCACGGGCTCAAGCCGGAGTGTTGCTAGCACTGGCCCTAACAAGAGCAGTGCTGTATCGGAAACGCGACTGAGAAGATCCGGTGAGAAACTCAGTGAGATGTGTCTGTGGGTTGATTCGTTCGACGAGGACGGTGATCGGTAAAAAACTTCCTATTAAACGGAAAACGAATGAAAATGTTCGTTGATGCAAGCACTAACCATATAATAAATATATACAGTAGACTTTACAAGCAGTCCTCTGTGCATATATTCCATTAAGGCAGACGAGACAACTTTTCATGCGTGCTTATGCTACAGACACCAATACGAAGAGGCTAGTGGACTTTTTAAATTCCAGTTGAAACATCAATTTGCGAAGAATTGGTGGATATGGCTTGAGAAATCTAAAGTAGCACATTCTAAGTACTTTCGGTTAAGAACCACCCTGCGTGTTTCTCCCGTGAAGCAGTAATGCGTTTCGGTTCGAAGGGTTAGATAGCCGTTGCACTTTGATAACTCAGACATTAGAACTCATATCCTCAGGTGTGTGGCGTTATTTACGTTGTATATGACTATGGGCTTCGGTAACCAGTTAGCACCAGATGGGCCGTGACCTTGTCCGCCCATTATCATTCTCCTACCCTGAGGTCGGCGCAACATCTTTTCTGCTTCCATACTCCTCTATCATATATCATTTCTTCGCTCACTCCCCTCTTACACATATCGTCTTTCACGCAATCCATCCATTTCTTCTTAGGTCTACCTCTGCTTCTATAGCCTTCCACATTCATAGTTAACACTCTCTTACCAGCTTCATTGTCATTTCGTCTCATCACATGTCCATATCATTCCAAACTTGTCCACCCATCTAAGCAATAAAAAAAACGAATTAGCTTATTACTTACGACTCTCCATCTGCAGTTTGCACTCCTGCGTATCGTGAGGGTAAATGAGGAAGTTCATAGCGCAAGACAGCCTCAACGTCAGCTTCACCATGTACAGTATGGTCTTGTCCTTGTACAGCCACACGTAGTGGTTCGGTATGGTCATCGTCTGAAACGTCACGGACTTGGCGTTCTTGAAGAACGAGTCTGGGCGCCACATGTGTTTCAGCCAGTCCACTTCTAACAGCCTAGAAGGTGGTAAATTAACATTTCATCCCGCTGCTAAGTTTTTTTTGACGCAAGCGCATACTCATTTACGCCGTGTTGAATTGGGCGATGAAGTGAATATTCTTTCAACAACCTTTATGGGTTATTTGAACTCAATTCCCAAAATGTATAATAGAATTTTCGATATATTGGACGCGGGTATAAATAAACAATAAGACCTTTAAGACCTTCATTTTGAAATCACATGTATTTAATTTCGAAAAATTGAATATTAATGAGGGTTCATTACCGATATTCAGAAGTCATGTTCTCTGGCAAGCGTAGACGAAAATCTTTCCATGTCTGTGCGAAGAATATGTCCGCAGCGTACGTCTGTTGTTGGAAATTAATACGTTTCCATAAAATCATCTCTAATGAATACAACTTACGTTGTAATTTGTGTTAAAGTTGAAACTGACATAGCTCTCACTTATTTCCACTATACACACGCTATTATCATTGGCGTTGGCTATGGGCGATAGTATCCACTTTTGTCTCTTTTCTTGCTGTGGCTGCGGAAATCTACAGACATCACTACATTAATTCCACCAGACGTCTTGAGACGTGTTATTGAGGTCTAATTGTGTTGCATAACTGAAACCTTTAAGCCTTTGACGAGGGCCTTGCACCAGAAATAGGCAAGGCTTGAGTTTCTACGCGTCCGGGCTCACAATACGGTATACAAGAGCTTTTTTGTAGCTCTTTTCTGCTACGAAGCATTCGTGCAGTCTGATCTCAATATATGAGTCACCGTATGCTACAGAGACTTCCAGAGAGCTCCAACGAAACCATCAGTGGACTCCAGGGAAATCATATGGTCATCTTATGAAGCCCCAGATTGTAAAAATATTCCTGAAATGACTTAAAAGACTAAAACATACATTAACCAACAAAAGCAGGAAAAGTTAGGCAATCCAGGCGTTTAGTAACAGAAATCGTCATAATTACTTCAGTGCGCCGCGTAGGGCACCGGTGACCTATATAACATTCAACGTCTTCAAGGAAGAAAAGTTACGTCATGAAACCCTATCTATGTCCATACTATTTTGTTATGTATTCTTGAGCACTCATACCAATCGATTGCAAGTATTTCCAATTTAGTCATTAGTTTAATATTTCAAGTAACATTAATAACTATAATAATCGATATATATAAAAAAATGTCCAGCAGTGGACTGCCGCAGGCTGATGATGATATATATAAAAATGAATTGCTGTTCGTTAGTCTCACTCAAACTCGAGAACGGCTGGACTAATTTGGCTAATTTTGGTCTTGAATTATTTGTGAAAGTCCAGAGAAGGTTTAAAATATGGAAATGCTCGGAATTAAGTAACAATAATAGTTTTGTTTTTCCTTTGATGTGTCCCCCGTCGGACGGATTTCTTTTGTTTGTATTAAGTTTATTTTATACAAAAGTTTAGATCTTTTATTTATCGATTGAGGCACTACGAAGTCTGCCGGGTCAGCTAGTAAGAAATAAAAACTATTAATACCGACTTATTCGTTTAGAACGACTCACCATTGAGTTCTCGTCTATTGAGTCTAAGCCCATTACTGTGACGTGGAAGTTCACGGTGGTGGGCTGGTCGTTGATCTTAGGAGGGCGCATCTTGTCGTACAGTCGGGGGTCATCAGGAAGGAGGTCTTGGAAGGTCAGGAGTGTTGACCTAGGGATAAATGAGCTTAACAGTATATAGAGAAACATGATGAGAATTAAATTTTTCATCTAAGTTGAAGCTAATTAAAAAGAAACGTTTTTGACATAATTTTTTTTTAAAAAGCAATGCTGCGTACGATGCTTGAGTAAGCTGATTTATAATCTCGACGAATTAATTTAATATGCCTAATTGTTAAAATTATTTTTGAGGATTTATTTTGGCTATTTCGCGTGTTTTGAGAAAGTGTTTTTGCTATCATAAAGTGTCTTTTTTTTCTACCTATTCGCTGGTAGCCTAAGGGGCTAAAATACGCGCAGACGGATAATTGAGCTAACCAACTCGACTTGAGAGAATTTGCTAAACTAGCCCTGACAAGAGCACTCCTTCGGTGAGTCTACCGCCTCATCTCAATCGCAACAGAGATGAAAATGCGGTGAGAAACTCAGTGGGTTGTGTCCGTATGCTACGTTGTGCCTCAAAGCATCCAGAGTGAATCTGAAGGATCCAATAAGACATGTTTTGGGCGACGGCGGTTTTGCGTTACCCCGTCGCTTGGGTCGGATATCTAATTAACAGCGGCCACGCTAAGAGGGTCGTCATGATACGCCGCGTTTTCAAAGAAACTTGCGTCAGTGAGCAAAATTTTCAAATGTCGACGAATAACAATTTAGTCGTCCGTGACCACGAAAACTGTCTAGTATTTGAAACGTCGGATATAATGTAATCATAATTAAAAACTGCATTAGACCTACTCGAGTCGAGGAGGCTACATTAGACAAAATGCCAGATTAAACTCAAACAGCAGTTTAAATGTTTTGCGGGTCACGATAATCGAAGAATTGAAATTGAAAAATTAAGAAATTGTGCCATTTTAATAAAAATACAGACAAATGATTATTGGCGCTGACCACTAGATGAGTCCACAGATGACACAATTAACTCCTAATTTTGTGTTATGTGTACATGTTACAGATTATTCCAGATTTCATGAGATTTGTAACCGGCGTACAAGCATCACTGTGACATCAATAGATGTACCTAATTAGTACGATTAAGTAGTTAAACATTTTCAACTAGTCTGGTTTAATGCCGAGAACGTGAGTAGATACAAAGAAAAGTTAATGTTTTGTTTTAACTAAATTTATCAAGCGCAATATTGCAACCTTCCTATTCGAATTCAATTTCATAATTCTATTTCGAAAGTGGATAAAGTATTATGCGCAAAATCGTTTGAAAATTGAATTGACCCGTTTCCCTATTTTAAATTAAAGCCAAAAGGTATTCTATGGTACTCACTGCGCGTAACACAAGTCGGTAGCTCCCAACCAAAGTCGTAGCAAAGCCGTCGTAAGCCACAGCAGCTTTCCAGCCGCCATATTAGAAGATATTTAAAAAAAATCAACGGTTCTCAAAAACATAATCTTAAATTTATTTGTTTTTTATTATTCTCTAATTTCATAAAATTCAATGCATTATTCAAATTTATACCTATACACTTTACACAAATAATCAGATATGAAATTTGTTTTTTTTTTTTTCAATAGTTTTCAGCAATATTCTTACTATATAGCAACATTAACGTTTACTAAAAGCGCGCGAATTTTGACAGTTGTCGGGAAAACCGCGGGACAAGTAATGACGGATACAGCAATAAAATTTTACTCATAACCGGTGTCTTTAAAATTGTGACATGCGCATTAATAATACGAAAGAAATTCGATGTTTTGTTTCTGTAGACAAGTTATTAATAAAATTGTTTGCTGTACTTGACGGCAGGAATGGTAGGATAGCACCGGTTGAAATCCAATGGAGATTTGGACGTTACGTTTCAGAGTAGGTGGTCATTAGTTGACATTCGCCGGTGTTTATATCGGTAAATACATGATGCTTGGACTCGAATTCAATCTGCAGTAATGAAAAACTGTAATTTTGTGTTTTGTATTTTGCTACAAAAATTACATGCAAAGGGTAAACTAAATTTAATTTTATATTTCTCCCATTTACAAGCTTATTAATTCTTCCGCTTAGTAAAGAGCTATATTCGCAGTACGTGCTCAAGGGCCGGTGAGCTGAAAGCCAATAATAGGCCAGGAACTGAACCCGGCTGAGACCACTTGACCGATCTGACTCCGCTACGATTCTTGCGACGTGTCGCATTATTGATACTAATTTGTGCGTTAAAAATGCATTCAGTAGGCTTGACAATATTTTTTACAAGTATAGGGATGACGATTCCAGTGCCTTTCTCTCATTGAACTAGTATAAGATTAGGTATCTAGACATCTAGAGTTAAATGCTAATATGATCACTCTCTACTACTAACATGATGAAGCGTAAGTAATGCTAATAAAACGTTTTAAAATTATGTTTTTTTTTCAAATCAGGGTCAATTTTTTTTCCGTCCCATCATCAAAGGTGTCATTAGCACTATCGTCTATCTTCGTTTTCGGAAGCGGTCTCCTAACACCCAGTATATACTTAGTCTGGCCATAAATACTGTTACAATAATAATACTGTTACAAAAAATTAACAAAATATTACATTTGAATTTGGAATCTGTCATTTTTATAATAATATGATTGCTCATTGAGTTTTCTCATTTTGGCGCCAATACATTGTACAATATTTTGCGATATTAAAATGGAGTGGGGTGATAAAGAGAACCGAATCGCTGTGATTGCATTACACAAAGTAGGTATGGAGCCAAATGCAATTTTTAAAACTCTCCATACGCTTGGTATTAGTAAAATCTTTGTACCGGGCTATTAATAGGTGCAATGAGACCTCCTCTGTTTGTGACAGAAAAAGATCTCGCCGTGCACGTAGGTAGTGTTCGTACGAAAAAGGTGGTCAAAGCAGTAAGGGAAAGAATTCGAAGAAATCCTCTCCGAAAGTAAAAGATTTTATCTCGGGAGATGAAGATAGCTCCTAGAACCATGTCGCGTATTTTAAAAGATGACTTAGGACTTGCAGCCTATAAGAGACGTACTGGTCATTTCTTAACTGATAATTTAAAAGAGAATAGGGTGGTAAAATCGAAACAACTACTGAAGCGGTACGCAAAGGGAGGTCATAGAAAATTTTTGTTTACGGATGAGAATTTTTTTACAATTGAGCAACATTTTTACAAACAAAATGTATGTATACTCAAAGCTCTAAGGAAGCTTCCCAATTAGCCGACAGAGTGCAACGTGGGCACTATCCGACTTCTGTGATGGTTTGGTGGGGTATTAGCTATGAAGGAGTGTGAGCCATACTTTTGTGAAAAAGGTATCAAAACATCGGCACAAGTGTATCAAGATACCATTCTTGAGAAGGTAGTGAAGCCCCTTAACAACACCATGTTCAATAATCAAGAATGGTCCTTCCAGCAAGCCTCGACGTCAGGTCATAAAGCTCGGTCTACGCAGTCTTGGTTGGAAACGAACGTTTCGGACTTCATCAGAGCTGAAGACTGGCCGTCGTCTAGTCCCGATCTTAATCCGTTGGATTATGATTTATGGTCAGTTTTAGAGAGTACGGCTTGCTCTAAACGCCATGATAATTTGGAGTCCCTAAAACAATCCGTACGATTGGCAGTGAAAANAACATGCAAAGGGTGAACTAAATTTAATTTTATATTTCTCCCGTTTACAAGCTTATTAATTCTTCCGCTTAGTAAAGAGCTATATTCGCAGTACGTGCTCAAGGGCCGGTGAGCTGAAAGCCAATAATAGGCCAGGAACTGAACCCGGCTGAGACCACTTGACCGATCTGACTCCGCTACGATTCTTGCGACGTGTCGCATTATTGATACTAATTTTTGCGTTAAATTGCATTCAGTACGCTTGACAATATTTTTTGCAAGTAAGTATAGGGGTGCCTTTCGGTCATTGAATTAGTATAAGAGTAGGTATCTAGACATCTAGACTTAAATGCTAATATCGATCAGATAAATGAGTGACGATGTTATGGACTATTTTATTAGAATTTATGTTATCAGAATAATCCTTCTACTCAGTTCATAAAATACTTATAACTATTGATATCATGCACCCCACGCTTTTTTATTCTTAGTTTGGCCATAAATATGTACTGTTACAATTAAAAATAAACAAAATATTACATTTGAATTTGGAATCTGTCATTTTTATATGATTGCTCATTGAGTTTTCTTATTTTGGCGCCATTACATTGTACAATATTTTGCGATATTAAAATGGAGTGGGGTGATAAAGAGAACCGAATCGCTGTGATTGCATTACACAAAGTAGGTATGGAGCCAAATGAAATTTTTAAAACTCTCCATGCGCTTGGTATTAGTAAAATGTTTGTGTACCGGGCTATTAATAGGTGCAATGAGACCTCCTCTGTTTGTGACAGAAAAAGATCTGGCCGTCCACGTAGTGTTCGTACGAAAAAGGTGGTCAAAGCAGTAAGGGAAAGAATTCGAAGAAATCCTGTCCGAAAGCAAAAGATTTTATCTCGGGAGATGAAGATAGCACCTAGAACCATGTNCAATGAGACCTCCTCTGTTTGTGACAGAAAAAGATCTGGCCGTCCACGTAGTGTTCGTACGAAAAAGGTGGTCAAAGCAGTAAGGGAAAGAATTCGAAGAAATCCTGTCCGAAAGCAAAAGATTTTATCTCGGGAGATGAAGATAGCACCTAGAACCATGTCGCGTATTTTAAAAGATGACTTAGGACTTGCAGCCTATAGGAGACGTACTGGTCATTTCTTAACTGATAATTTAAAAGAGAATAGGGTGGTAAAATCGAAACAACTACTGAAGCGGTACGCGAAGGGAGGTCATAGAAAAATTTTGTTTACGCATGAGAACATTTTTACAATTGAGCAACATTTTAACAAACAAAATGACGGTATTTATGCTCAAAGCTCTAAGGAAGCTTCCCAATTAGCCGACAGAGTGCAACGTGGGCACTATCCGACTTCAGTGATGGTTTGGTGGGGTATTAGCAATGAAGGAGTGACTGAGCCATACTTTTGTGAAAAAGGTATCAAAACATCGGCACAAGTGTATCAACATACAATTCTTGAGAAGGTAGTGAAGCTCCTTAACAACACCATGTTCAATAATCAAGAATGGTCCTTCTAGCAAGACTCGACGCCAGGTCATAAAGCTCGGTCTACGCAGTCTTGGTTGGAAACGAACGTTTCGAACTTCATCAGAGCTGAAGACTGGACGTCGTCTAGTCCCGATATTAATCCGCTGGATTATGATTTATGGTCAGTTTTAGAGAGTACGGCTTGCTCTAAGCGCCATGATAATTTGGAGTCCCTAAAACAATTCGTACGATTGGCAGTGAAATTTTTCCCATGGAAAGAGTGCGTGCTTCTATTGATAACTGGCCTCAACGTTTAAAGGACTGTATTGCAGCCAATGGAGACCACTTCGAATAAGCTTTTTATACTTTAAATTGTTTTACACTTATGTATTAAACTAACACACTGCAAAAGTAATAAATGTTATTTGCAATAGTTTTTTTTTTCCTTTGTCTCAGTATTTATGGCAAGACTAGGTATAGTGCAGTCTCGTAGTCACGGCTTTTGGCTTGATGCCGCCCTAGGCCATGTTTATCGCGCCGCCCTTATACTTAGAATAAAATTTATTAATTTTGATCCAATATTTTTATTTTAAATTTAAAATAACTTTTTTTTTTATAAAAATTAATCTGAACTCACTTTCAAATGAGACTGTCTGTCTATGGAACGCCACGTCGTACAAGGTAGGGTGGACGGTACAAGACCGCACAAGAGGTTGTCAATGCGGTGAACCTACCAAATGAAAGATAGAGTGGGAGGTCTCCTAAATGAGTGCTGTATGATGGCCTCGAGCAGGGAGAGATGACGGGACATATTGAAACGCGTCAAGTGTGCCCCTTCCAACACTCTATCACCTTCACGACCACTGTGTCAAGAGTGTCACGATTGACAAGAAAATAACAGAATTATTTTATAAACTCGACAATGGCAACAATAGCACGCACGAATCTAATTGCCACACATAAAAATGAATAGGAAGAAGACTCTTCAAATAAAACAGATTCGAACGAAGTTTTATGTATGATAAATTTCTTGATTTTTTTCATTATCTCCCATCACTTATACATCTATCAAGTACTCAAACCAACGACATCGATATAAATCTAAGCTAGCGAGAAGTGATACTAGTGAAAATCGGGACTAATGAATTCAACGTCTCAAATAACATTATTTAAAGGCTTTAAGGTGTGGTCTGGTGGGTAAAGTGGAGTCGGTATCTAAATTCCTACAGCTCCTATTGTTTTCTAATTAATTCCATTGTGGGATCCAAACTAAATCAACTTTACCTCGGATTACCAGAACCCCACCGTTTATTCTTTGTCGTATGGTCGCTGCTGTGGATATCAACATCGGATTTTTTCATTATATATACTGGGTGTTCGGAGACCGCTTCCGAAAACAAAGACAGATGATGGGACGGAAAAAAAATTGATCCTGATTTAAAAAAAAAAACATATTTATAAAACGTTTTATTAGCATTATTTACGCTCTATCATGTTAGTACAGACAAATGAAACAATAGTTTCATAAAAAAAATATTACTTTACTTAAAAAACCAGCAATGAAACACAAAATAAAAAACAGCTGATGCTCGGATCAACGAACGCCCGGGCGCGCGTGCGCGGCTTTTCTTTTACACGCATAACGGCGGGCGCGGCGCTGATACCGCGTTCCTCAAAATTTACAACTTTGTAGGTACAAAAATTCCTTTTTTGGAAGCAGTCTTCTAACAGCCAGAATATGTATTAAATGTGATACTTAACCACCATAAGGTTACTTTTATTAAACAAGTAAAACTCATTTTGACTTCTGTGTGGGGTCAAGCGGCTAAATTATTGGTTGAAGAAAAGATATATTATCCTTTTTTATTGCTTCAGATGGGTAGACGAGAGCTCACGGCCAACTGCTGTTAAATGGATAGCAAAGCCCATACATATCAACAACGTAAATGCCGCAACCCATCTAGATACATGAGTTATAAGTCTCAGATTTATAACACAACATTAGAGCCATCATTTGAACTGAAACGCTCAACAAACAAATAATATTTTTTGCGGCTTTTATTTATATTACACAAAATTAATCCTTCATCGTGAAAGTTGTTCGTGAACATATTTTGTGAAATACGTATTTCAGTAGAAAAATTGGTACTTACCTGCGGGATCCGAACACCGGTACAGTCACATCGCACATACGCATCACCAGGCGTTTTGTCCTTGTATAAGCCATAACGACTTCAAATAAAAGAAGCTGATCCAGGTTGTATAGGTATTGGACAAAGTAGCTTGAGTTGATCAGAACGAAAGCTGAAATAATTTCAGCCTTAATTTAAGGAAAAAATTTAAGAGTTGACAATAACTTATCTGATTTTTTTATTTTCGTTTTTATGTCTAATAGATAAGCTGTGCCTTGAAGTGAGCCAATATTGTATGGTGGGCTGAAAGAAAAAAGGAGAAATAGCAGGCGGCTACTGAGTCTTAGATAGTAAAAGAAAATCATTCTATAAAAACATTCTGTGCTTGTCTGGGCATGAACAAAAATATTTATGTTTTGGTGGCTATGCGTCTACCAGCTGATTCACATAATATGGAGCCGTGAGTTAATCTGGCCATTGTCTTTAGTAAAAACAAAACTTTTAATTTTAATAATACAGTCGTCGTAATCATTGTTCTAGTTTCTGGTGCCTATATTGGTTCTAATGTCCACTGAGATTACTGACGTTTAACGTTAGATTCCTGTTGACATATAATTGTTTTCTGTAATAGTAGTCAACCGAGAAAAAAGATTATATTTTTCGTCGTAAAACTCGTCATTAAATTTATATAAAATGTGTCATTATATAATATGTCCTTAATTTAACAGTAAGTATTTACTACATAATTTTACCAATCTGTTTGTTTACTTTTATATTTATTTATAACCTTCCAACTATTTTTACAGGCTTCACCAAATATAATAGTGTGGCAATCACAATAGCAATCAAATTTACTAATAATATTTAAAAAAACAAGTTATTATGACGTAAAACAAATACGAATATATTGACTTTCATTCACCAATGGTGAAAAAGTCAACTCGAAGGTATGCTATAACTCATGTCTTCGAAATAGTGCCCTAACCCACAACAGAGTCTTATCTAAGAATAACAATATGACGGAATCTCAGCGGCCGAAAGAAAGAATTGAAATGATCACTCTACACAAGATACTATTTGTTTTTTGCTTTTTGTCTTTATCGCTAAACTATTATATATCGACAAAACCTATGCTAGAAATTGAAAACCCAGCTTTTTCTCTGATTCAACCTAATGAAACGATCACTTCGAAATTTAGTGATAATTACGACCAGTTGATTGATATAAAGAAATTCTCATTCAAAATCAATCCTAAACCATGTAAACGTTACCCAGAAGGTTTTCTACTTATGATAATAGTTTCCTCCAACCCCTTGAATTATGAAAACAGGCTTGTCATCAGAAAAACGTGGGGACAGACAGATGAGTCCACGAACATTGTATTTTTGGTTGGAGAGACAGATAATGTTACTGTATCGCAGAAAATACAGGAAGAAAGTGTGACATATGGTGATATAGTGCAAGGTAACTTTAAAGATGCATACCATAACATGACTTATAAGCATGTTATGGGACTGAAATGGATTTCACATCATTGTATGAACTCAAAATATATTTTAAAGACTGATGATGATATAGTAGTGAATGCTGATGAGTTAAAGAGATTTTTAGTGAGAAGATTGTCTCCTTGGGGAGCTAAAGGTTTGATAATGTGTAAAGTTGCAAAACATGCCTTAGCACAGAGGAGACAGAGTTCAAAATGGATGGTTACACTTGAGGAATACCCTATGCCGTTTTATCCTGACTATTGTCCAGGTATTTGTGTTACTTAAATCTTGATAATAGAATAACATTTGATCTCCCACCAAATCTTATATTAACTAAGTAATACTGTTTTTAAATCATTGATTCAACACATTGAATGCTATATGAAAAAATCAAGTATTTTCATTCAGGCCACGGGGCTCACGGTGAGCCTTACCTTACTGAACCGTTTGGGCCATGAGGGTCACCCGTTTTCTGTTTAATGAATATTCACATCAAAAAATAATGAAAGATAATCAAAAAATAATAAGATAGATAACTTATCTGTTTGTGTAAAAATTATTTGATATTTAATTGTCATAGTATAGTTTTATTATTTAATTTAATTCATGAAACCACATGTTCTGATATGTTTATCATATCTGGAAATGTTGCTTTTAGTTGTAGGACCTAAGGTTTTAAATGTAGTTTTTTTTTGCTATTTCAATTGCCTACACCTAAGAACAAATTTTCTATACTATACAAATATTAACTAATATCCTATATATTGATACATGAACCATTTTTAATAAGTAATTGCATTTAACCCATGTTTATGAATAATTTTCAACTGAAGAATGATTGAATACAATGAAGCATGTTGTATGTTATGTAATGGTACCTATGAAACAATCAGGTTTGCCAGTTAAAGTGGAAAGGAATGTCATTCTGACGAAATAGAGACTATTATTATGTCTCAAGGGACTTTGTTCTGTCTATGGACTCCTGGAATTGGAAAAAGTTTAGTACTTTATAGGAATAGGTTCTTTCTTATTGCTGGTGACCACATTTACTCTATGTCTTGCTTAATTTTAATAGTTTAAGGGTGCCTCTTAACATGGCAATATGAATATTGCCACCCAACATGCATTCATATTCATAGGCTTACTTATGTTGTAAGAATCCATGCTTAAAATTATAATCCAACTTATAAATGGCTAGAATTGTATTTACCTAATCTCACAAGATGCACTAATAAAATTTATAAAATTATTTTCAGGCTGGGCAATTTTATACTCCAGAGATGTTGTACCTCGTTTACTGGAAGCAGCACAAAACACACCTTACTTCTGGATAGATGATGTGCATATAACTGGAATTTTAGCACAGAAGATTGGGGTACCGAGAACAAGTATAACTAATTATGTATTGACTGAAAAAAAAGCTGAATTGTTAGTGAAATCAGGAAGGCAGAATATAGGTCGATTCCTGTTTGGGCCACCCAATTTAAAAGTTCAAAGGATGTCTGCATTATGGCGCGCCATATCTCAATCTTGTCATATTTAGATCATCAATTTTTATTCAGTTTCCGCAAGTCGTACACAATTAAAACTATTTTATCTCTCTTTCTGCGCACTGTTTAAAGACGACATCGGAAACAACATAAATATTATGTAATATATATAAAAGTATGAATGTGTGTAGGGGGTGAATGGATCTAACATCTTTCCAACCCAAAAGTCAATTTCACCTGCATGCATCAGTAGTTTTAGGGACCTCCGATGACAGTTCTGACGACTGTCGTGGAATTCCTTGCTAGACATCACACGAGGCTTTGGCGACCGAGCTATAGCGGTATAAGCATACATCTCTCCAGGGGAAACTGATGGGAAGAGACCACAGCGTAATATAGCCAAAATGTCAAGTGCAAAGGGAAAGAGAAACCACACCATTACATTCCTAAGGAAATCACATGATATGATAAGCCGTAAAACGCCATATCAAACCGTTAAAGTATTTTTAATTATATTTAACCNACGAGGCTTTGGCGACCGAGCTATAGCGGTATAAGCATACATCTCTCCAGGGGAAACTGATGGGAAGAGACCACAGCGTAATATAGCCAAAATGTCAAGTGCAAAGGGAAAGAGAAACCACACCATTACATTCCTAAGGAAATCACATGATATGATAAGCCGTAAAACGCCATATCAAACCGTTAAAGTATTTTTAATTATATTTAACCATTACATTCGTAATTAACACTTGATAGCCTACTCGAGTGTTCTCATTCATTTATTTGCCAGTTTTTATAATTATATTAAAATGCAATGTCATTTCTGACTTGAATCTTTAGTTTGTAAGGTATTAACAATGAAACGAGAAAAACTTATAAATTAAAAATAGTATGTAGTTTAATAAATGAAGTGTCATAGACGCTTCCGTTTTTGGGATGTTTCTGCAACATACATGGTTATATAGTTAGAAGTGTTTAACACTGCCATGAGTTCCTGCTGCAATATTTCAAATTATGTGGATACATACATAAATGTGATTTTGGTGATGTGATTGATATAGGTAAAAGTACTTGAAGGTAATTAATTTCCTTTAATTTATTTGATTGAAATATAATTATCTGGAGACTGAACATCAGCCTTATAAAGAATTTTAACAAGAATCCATGTTTGATAGACTTGTATGGTAATGTTTGGTTGCTCTATCAAAATGTTGATTAGTTATATGAAATTTAATTGCGATAAAGAATCTGTTATGTTCAAAAAGTTTTTGAGAATGTTTTAACATTGAGTTTAGATGAATCATCATTTAAGAAGTTTGTTAAAAATACCCAAGACTTTGTTTCGGTTCTAATATTTTTTTATTCATTTTGTCGATTTCAGTTATCACGTTATACTGATTTTAGAAATCACACATTATGTTGTAGTTTTGTAGATAAATTGGAACAAATGCCTTTTAGAATGTGTGACTAGTTCGAATAGTATTATATAATTAAGTAGAATATGTCATTGTTAAGTGAGATTGTAAATGTAAGTGCCTTGTACTAGACTAAAGTTAAAAAAAGTGGACCAGCTGATTATTTATGGTAATTCTGACATACAATAAGCCAATGAATGACCGCTAATACGGACACGCAAGTAACTTGCTCAGCAAGGTTGTACTTTTAAGATTCCTGGGACTATCATTCCGAGCTCCTGAACACGCTGTTAGCTCTCGATTTAGGGTTTTTTTTATTGCATAGATGTAGGCTCACAACCCACCTGATGTTACGTGGTTACTGGAGCCCATAGAAATCTACAACGCAAATACGCCACCCACCTTGAGATATAAGTTCTAAGGTCTCAGTATAGTTACAAGGTGGTGTATCACCCGAAGCAGCCAGGTTCGCTGCGTTCGAATATTTTGACAGTTTTCTTGGTTACTGACGAGTGACGACTAAGATTTAGGTTATATATAAATTATAGTAACCGGCAAACATCGTGAGCAAATGACCTTGACTGCGCAGAACCGAATTTTAGATCACTTTGGTGGTGAGGGTGAGGCGCGACGGCAGGGGAAATCGTATCGAGCGCGTTATTGGTAGATCAGTCGAACCTTGCGTCCCGCACCGCGCCTTCGTTCCGCTTGCTCCCAAAAGTACGCTTGCGTACAGTGAAAAGTCTATCGTTATTAATCGTTAAGTTATATTTTGTTATAATTGCTTGTTGACTTTGTTGCCATTGCTATTTGTTGAGTGTTTGTTGATTTTTTATAAAAAATACACTATGCCGCGACAAACTGGTGTAGTATTCAAAAGAAAGGGTAGAAAAATTGTGTACGACGTATATTGCTTCATTATAAAACAGGGGAAGAATGATATTATGGAAAAAGTAAAACAGACTTCGGAAGCAACAAAAACATCAGTGAGTACTGTTAGGTGCATTATTAACGAAGCTAAAGGCTCTGGCTTGCTCATCGTGCTTGGGACTCCGGGTAAGAAAAGATCAGGGAAGAAGAAAGTTACCGGAATGGATAGTTTCGTTCAATCTGTAATAAAAAGATGTAATCATAATAACTACATAACAAGCAGCGAAACTCCGTACCGTAGAAAGGCTTCGAAAATTTTAAAGAAGATATACATTTTAATGGCTCGGAATGAAGTTTACGACGAATTATGAAAGAGCTAGGCTTCAGATGGAAAAAAAAAAAAAAAAATAATCGGAAGCTGGTAATTGAAAAAAGTAACATTCGATTACTACGAATCGAATATCTTCAAAAAATAATTAATTATAGACAAAAAAGAAGATCGAACCGACCGAGTCGTAAACTACACCGATGAGCCCTATGTCGACTTATCACGATGATGGCGACTCGGGTGATGAAAACAGTGATGATGATAATGGTCAAGATTATGATAACGAAAAAAAATTACAAATACCAGCTTCGCTTCAACTGAACGAAGACCTGGCAACAGCTCTAGTTTTGACTTAATAGAAGGAATATCTATTTTACCCCAAGATTAAATTATTATAATTATTAACCTATATTTTTTGTTGATGTTCTAATAAATATATAAATAAATACATATGTTGATTTTAATAATTTAATTGCATTATGACGCAGAGTAAATAAGGTTTTTGCACGTGAGTGTACCATGCGCAAACTTACCCCCACTACGTCAACAAATGCTCAAGAAGTTTGCCGGCTATTATACAACGCTTGATGTCATAAGTCAAGTTGCATTGAACAAACAATATGCCGCAAGTTAGCCAACAGCTAGTACCTACCGGAACGAATTTATCGGAGAAGTGTAATCATGTTCATTGATCATTTGTGATAATAATATAATTATATTAATTCAATAATTGTAAATTGAATAATACTGCTCAAGCATTATATTTGGCGATTCGTTGTACGTACGTGTGGAATTTGTGGATAGCTCGTCCTTTTTATGAAGTCATAGGTAATGAAGTTATATTCAGGCGAATTCAGTTAAGTCAGCGCCGCAGTTTTGAAAAAAAATATGAAAAGACTTTCTTGAAACTAGTTTTTTATTCATATTTGTACACGTTATGTATTTGTTTCACATTTTGAGCATAGCTTGTCTTATGTGTAGTTTACACAATGATTGACTCTCTTAACCATCGATATATCGATGCTCTTAACATCCGAATATAAGTAATTGCACAGAAATTTAATAGGAGTTTTCTTATATTACTATTAGTTTTTGTTTGGGCTTGGTTCTTTTAATTTTATATTTTTGAGCGCAATCGATATGATATTTTGGTAGTAGGTAATATTTTTAGGAACTCACCGAAAGTCTGTGTCTTTGTAGTGATAATATTTGTAGCACTATCTTCATGGAGTGGCCACTCCTGTCTTCTTTCTTTGTTCTTGATGAAAAGCTTTCAGTTTTTAAGTACTTACTTAGCTGCACTCAATATTCACCACTTTTTCGCGATCGCACAATTTTGATGCGCACGATTCAAATTCAATTTTAAAAGTGTCATTGATATAGGAGGGGAAAGGGGCGGGACTACATCGATGCGCTCTCAGTTACGTTCAAAAACATCAATGCTAATTATCCATTGCAGATAGCGTAAACATGCCCCCCAGTTTGANGTGATCAAATATGTTTGGGCTTGGTTCTTTTAATTTTATATTTTTGAGCGCAATCGATATGATATTTTGGTAGTAGGTAATATTTTTAGGAACTCACCGAAAGTCTGTGTCTTTGTAGTGATAATATTTGTAGCACTATCTTCATGGAGTGGCCACTCCTGTCTTCTTTCTTTGTTCTTGATGAAAAGCTTTCAGTTTTTAAGTACTTACTTAGCTGCACTCAATATTCACCACTTTTTCGCGATCGCACAATTTTGATGCGCACGATTCAAATTCAATTTTAAAAGTGTCATTGATATAGGAGGGGAAAGGGGCGGGACTACATCGATGCGCTCTCAGTTACGTTCAAAAACATCAATGCTAATTATCCATTGCAGATAGCGTAAACAGTTTTGTTATTTTATTAATCTAAAATTGCTTTTTTCTTTTTAATAAAATAAATGAAATATTAACTGTATTTTTTTTAAATTACAGAATGATGTATCTGAATGTTAAAATAAGTAAATATTGATCATACTTGAATATTATGGATGTTAAGTCTGAGTTGCTAATCTTCGCTAGCTACCAACATTGTATGTCCTAGTTTAGTTATAATATGCTTGTACCAAAAAAAATGCTTAAAAAATATGGGCCATATTTACCCCACTATTTACTAAGTCAAGAATTTTTAATTCGCTGGAAATCCTATCACAGTTGTTTATGTATTTTAATAAAATAAAAACTTACGTGACTAACACACTATCGGTTTTATTTATAAGCGTCATTTGTACTTCCGGGTCTGCGTTCTTTTTGCCTTTAAAACTGTCTTCGATGTCTTGAAGGGTCCTGTCTTTGGTTTCGGGTAGTAAAAAATACATTATTATCAAGAAGAACGTTAAAATGGCCGAGTACACCAGGAACGCTCCCTCGACCCCCACAGAAGAATACAAATGTGGGGCCGTCTTCATGGAGATCACAAAAGACGGCGTCAAAAATGACGTTGACAAAGTAGATCCTAGACTTCGGTAAGCTAACGGGAACACTTCGCCACATATAACCCAGTTCAATGGAACGAGGCCAAGGCAAAACGAGACCGTGTAGAATATCATCAGGGACATCGGCATTAGCTCCAGCAGCCAAGTCGCCGTGAAGAGACCGGCTTTTCTCATGTAAATAAAACTAGATATAAAAGCGAGCGATAGAACCGTCGTGAGGCCACTCGTGAATAATATCGTTCTTCTTTTGCAGTATTTCAAAAGGAAGATGGCCAAGAACGCGCAGATCGTGCGGAGTAAGTCCATCACGGTCAGTTGCCACGCCACGTCTATGGCGTTTTCTTTGTCCAAAACGGCTTGGAGGATCGTGTTGCCGTAGGCCGCGAACATATGGGCTCCTCCGAACTCGAAAACGACCAACATGCTAATCGCTATGACAGCCGGCTTATAAAACTCTTTCTTCTTAAATACTCTGAGGACGCTCTTTATCGAATTTATCGCGGTTTTGAAGATTCCATTCCTCTTTGTTACCGGTTCGTTTTTTTCCGATGCAACTTCTTCCTTCTGTGCATTAACCATCGCTTCGAACTCCTCCATTTGCACGGGACCTTCGCCTCGAATCCACCTAAATGACTTCCTAGCCTCTTCGTACTTACCTTTGGAGACCAACCAGCTCGGTGACTCTGGCGAAAACGATATTATCGCCATGGCGATCAACGGGAACATGGAACAAACCACAGCAGTCATTTTCCACGTTAAATGCGCTCCCCAAAGATGTGACAAGAAGATCCCGAGACCTAGTGATATGGCGAATGTCCCCAAGAACGCTCCCCTGTACTTTGGGTCCGTATACTCTGCCACTAATATCGCTGCTAAAGGTGTTCTTAGCCCTAAAGCCAGACCGTGGAGTAGCCTCGCCAGAATGAATAGAGGGACAGAGTTTCCGAATACGAATATCAGCCAGCCGAGTAGAGCTGGTATAGTTGTGAGGAGATGAGCTTTTTGACGGCCATACTTCGTCATTAGAACCGGCGATATGAAGTTACCCACTATTCCCATAACGCCGACAACTGAAGCTGAAAAAAGGAATACATTTTGAAGGTTAAAAGGTTCCTAGTTCACGGTTTATGTAAAAAAAATGTTGGGTATTTTTTTCCCCTACCTATGCTGATAGCCTTGAGAGGCTATTTCAGCTTCTTGACGTGTAGGTGAGCTCACGGGGCTCAACCGGGAATGTTGCTAACACTAGCCCTAGCAAGAGCAGTGCTTCGCAGAATCTATCGCCGGATCAGAATCGCGACCCACTGAGAAGATCCGGCGAGAAACTGGGCTGTATCTATGGGTCTGGGTATTTTGGTTTACAGATTGCCTATTAAAAATCATAATTCTGAAGATATTCAACTCTAAGTGAAGAATCGTATACTTTATAGGGCATTTTGTGTATCTTGTGGATTTGTATACTTTATAAGCATGTTGTAGATGATCAGACTACTGTGACCCGCTTAGTATTACGTGGTTATCAAAGCCCATAGAGATTGTAATATAAGCATAGCCTTCAAACTACATGAGGTCGAAATCTCATTTTTAAATAATGGCCGTTCCATACTTCAAATAGAACACAACATTGCTTCGTGGTACTACTATGCAAGCGGTACCACTCATGCGACCTCAATACGGGATACTAATAAACAAATTTCATGTAAATAGTTTGTAAGGACTTGTCTAGAACAAATGGTCGCTACTATTTAGGAATATATCCACAGGTTTTGAGGTCGTCGTGGCCTAAAGGATAAAACGTCCGGTGCATTCATGTTGAAGCATGATACACCGGTGTTCGAATCCCAGGCGGGTACCAATTTTTCTAATGAAATACGTAATGAAAAATTGTTCACGATTGACTTCCACGGTGAAGGAATAACATCGTGTAATAAAAATGAAACCCGCAAAATTATAATTTGCGTAATTATGTAGGACCACTAGTGATTCCGCGCGGGTAGGTACACCCGCCTATTTCTACCGTGAAGCAGTAATGCGTTTCGGTTTGAAGGCTGGGGCAGCCGTTGTAACTATACTGAGACCTTAGAACTTATATATCAAGGTGGGTGGCGCATTTACGTTGTAGATGTCTATGGGCTCCAGTAACCACTTAACACCAGGTGGGCTATGAGCTCGTCCATCCACCTAAGCAATAAAAAAAAACATAATATCGAAAGGCATAAGATTATGGATGGATAAAAGACATAAATCAATACTTAGATATTGTGTGGGGTATTGCAATTTTTAAAGTCGACTCATCATCATACTCACCAATCCATGAGGTGTCGTGGTCGCTGAGTTTGAAGTCGCCTTTGCTGCTTTCGATTTGCGCAAAGAGCACAGCTGGGTAGCCATGAGCACAGCCGTGTCCTGCTATGTTCAGTGCAGCGCCGCTCACGACGAAGGCCTGGAAGGATTCGTCAGAACATTCGCAGTCAAAATTGTATGTATAGTTCGAATCCTTTTTAGCAGTTTATTTTAGTAGTGGTCAATAATAGTTCAGGGCGTTGTCGGAAGTGAGATAATTATATAACACAACTGGTTAATCGGAGCGTTTATTTGCGACTTTTTTTTTATTGCCATTGCAGGCAGACGAGCCCACCTGACGGTAAGTGGTCACCGTCGCTCATGGACGTCAGCAATGCCAGGGGCAGAGCCAAGCCGCTGCCTACCGTTAAGTACTCTCCGCAAGCCTCGTTTGAAGAAGAACATGTCATAGCGCTCGGAAAACACCGTGGAGGGGAATTCATTCCAAAGCCAGATGGTGCGTGGCAGAAAAGATCTTTGGAAACGCACTGAACGACTGAACTTAAAAAGTTAAAAGCAACAGAGCTTGCGGGCGCAGCCGCGTGTTATGACTACGAACAATTTTGTTTACATAACAAACTGTGTCCCTACACCTTTTTCGCGGTGATGAGGAATCGTACCCGAAACGAAGACAGGCGGATGATCAGAATCTATACGTTGAAGTTTCTATTGCATAACGGTTGTGCCATCTTTCAAACTGGAACCCAGGGCTACTTCGCGACAAATATAAGCAGTCAAACCCGTGAAGATCATAATGAGACGTCTTACTTCTCACTCTCTTCATTTTGGGTGGACGGAAAAGAAAAACATACCAACGGTGACATGGTGATGTTTTACCAGCTTAGGGTTCATAGAGAAGCAACCGTGAAAGAAGTCGTGCCGTAATTATAAACAGATGTATCCATAATCCCATCTGTTTCTGCCGCGAAGTAATCATATTTTCCAGGCTTAAAGAAGATGAGCCGTTAATCCAAGGCGATGTTCAATCTCGGTTGGCACCAGCTATTATTATCAGGGGCCAATAAGAATATATCCCTAATAGAAATTAAAACTTACCTGTTTTATAAAAGACTCCATGTTTTTGAGTCTTCATACAGGAATTAGTGACTCTGAAAAGGAAAAATATTTATTATCATCAGTTAAACATTTGTTTGGAGTTTCGAAATTATTCCCAATCTCAGCTAGTTACTTCTGATTTATCATGATACGTCATTTGTAGGTATATAATGTGCTTTCAACTTGACAAGCCTTGTAACCATCGGTCTTCACGGATTCAAGGACAACAGTGACTTTAATCTGATGTTCCAAGTTTAGCTTTCATGTTGTAATGTGAAAAATATTTAAGTACAAGTTACATTTTATGGTTTAAAACTTAGTGGTTTTTGGACCTTGCTTCCACTTATCTACTCCTATAGCCCAATGAAAGCTATAACCTACTTCTAAACCACCAGAGTGCTTTCAAGTCCTGCTTGCCCTTCTGTTTTCATTGACGCACTTCTCGAGGGAAAATCTAGTTGCTTTGAAATGACGACTATTCTGAGTCTTCCGTTCAGAAATAGGTAGCTTGCTTAGCTGGGCTCACAGCGCAGTGTGTGGACCTAAGTCTTTTCATATCAAAACTGTCTTCGAAAACATTGCCCATGACAGAAATCGGTTGATAAAGAAATAAACAACAATTAACCATAATAGCAATGGATAGCGCTATTATGATTTTATTTATATTCATGACACAGATCGCCGTTGAACAATGGAGGTTGCGAAATGCAGACATAATAATTTTACTGCAGATTTACATCTTCACACTTCATGATCGCTGGAGTGACTGTTTGTAAGAAGCTAAACGATAAAATAGAAACACTTTTTTTTTAAAGTTGGGTCCATCCGATGTCATTACCGCAGGTCATGGACATCATGATGTAGGTGCAGCTATCCACCTTGAGACATGAAATCTAAGTCTCAATTGTATTCTATAATGGCTGTCCCACCTTCCAAGCCGGGTAGGGTAGGGCCTGCCCTCACGAGCTCTCAAAAACCTCACCTCACATGAAATTGCGTAAATTCGTATTTTTTTCTAGATCATATTGTTACTATTCACTACAAAAAAGATACTAATTTAATACACTAATTCATACCACGCTCTCCTTAATTTCGGTAGAGCTTTCGGAACACTTATTTATTTATTTACTTTTTACAATCACGCCACGTTAACTGGTCCCGTGATAAGTTCGTAAAGAACTTGTGTTACAGGTACCAGATAACGGATATAAATGTAAGATTTTTATTATACACAGACATATATTTAATATACATCCATAACCCTGGAAAAGACATTTATATTTATCATACAAATATCTTCCCTTGGCGGGATTCGAACCCGCGACCCCCTTGTGTAGTGACCATGTCACTTACCACTACACCAGACGGCCGTTATTAAATGCATAGTTATAATAATTTTTAATAAAAATCAATTTTATTGTTGTAACGTATTTTGAGAAATGAAATGAATGAACAACACAAGTATCACATTTTAATAGTACTTTTTCCGATTTTCGCGAGTTCTATACTAAAAATTAACTACTTTTATGACTTGATCTCACGTTGGATAACGAACGACGGATGACATCTTAGTCGTCTGACCTCGAAAACCATAAAGCCTTTGGAACATCGGAAATGATTAATTGAAAATAATAAACCCGAGATTAAACTATTCGTGTAGTTTTAATCATAAATAATATAATTAAAGCCACATTGACAGCTTTATATTGGGTCTGTTTTTATTTAATTACTTCCAAGAATATAGAAAACATTATCGATAACTACTTCAAAGTAATCCGCATGTAGTTACGTTAAAAATAAAAAATATCGAAATCAAATATAATTTTCCGTTGGCGTTAGAATCCTCAACCAAACAAAATCCTTGCCTAAAAACCGTCAACTTTCCACAATTAGTCAGTTGGATTAGTGAAACCCTGCGAAATCACGAGGCACTAGGTATTGCATGCAAGAAAGCAAAATGATAGGCCTTTTATGGTTGTTGAAAACATCGACACGCTTGTGCAGCGGGGGACCGCTGACTAGAGTGGGGAAGGGACAAGACACTAAAAACTTAATAGTGGTAGAGCATATTTCGAGCCCACACGAGTAGGTATCCCCGGCCAGCTTCTCAATAATGATACGTAGACGCTGCTCCCATTACTGGTTATTACCCATAATTTACTGGTGGTAGGACCTCTTGTGAGTCCGCACGGGTAGGTACCACCACCCTGCCTATTTCTGCTGTGAAGCAGTAATGCGTTTCGGTTTGAAGGGTGGGGCAGCCGTTGTAACTATACTGAAACCTTAGATCTTATGTCTGAAGGTGGGTGGCGCATTTACGTCGTAGATGTCTATGGGCTCCAGTAACCACTTAATACCAGGTGGGCTGTGAGCTCGTCCACCCATCTAAGCAATAAAAAATTAAAAACAAAATTTGAAGAGTGATACATTTGTTAAACACCACACTATTATCTTACGTCACAACATTGGTGGCGGTTGGCTTTCAAGGAAACCCTTCACTCCGGATGGAACATGAGCTCGCCCATTCACCCGGTGCAATAAAAAAGGCCTTGAAGCCTGATGTCCCATAGTTTTAAATCTGCTAACTATAAAATATGCATGCGTAAATAGACACATTTTTTTGTTATTGAGACTCAGGGCCGGACTTAAACTTAATGCCGCTCCTGGGCACCAGAAAAAAATCCGCCCCAATACTGGAATTTTACCTAAACTTATAGTTAATATAATATTTTATTTTTTCAAAATTAAAATACCTAATTTATTGCGGAAACTTTCCAAAAACATAAATAAATATTTGGTTTTTTTTAACAATTATAAATTTTGATTATGTGTGTCTCATAATTATATTACAAAAAAAAAAACTAGTGAAATTTCCTTAATTACAGAAAATAGAAAAATTGATTATTATTTTAAATCTTTTTATTTTTTTTTATTGCCTAGGTATGTAGACGAGCTCACAGCCCACCTGCTGTTAAGTGGTTACTGGAACCCATGGACATCTACAACGTAAATGCGCCACACACCTTGAGATATAAGTTCTAAGGTCTCAGTAAAGTTACGACGGCTGCCTCACCCTTCAAACCGAAAAGCATTACTGCTTCACGGCAGAAATAGGTGGGGTGGTGGTACCTACCCGTGCGGACTCACAAGAGGTCCTACCACCAGTAATTAGCAAATTATAATTTTGCGGGTTTGATTTTTATTACACGATGTTATTCCTTCACCGTGGAAGTCAATCGTGAACAATTGTCAAGTACGTATTTCATTAGAAAAATTGGTACCCGCCTGCGGGATTCGAACACCGTTGCATCGCTATATACGAATGCACCGGACGTTTTATCCTTTAGGCCACGACGACTTCTCGAAGGATCTCCAAGGAAATAAATTGATTAAATCATTTTGATCATTAATTTTTATCAAAAGTGCCAAAATTATAATTCACCAATAACGGATGGATTGAATTTCTTGAATTATTAATTAAAAAGAAAATTATTAATGAATTAATTATATTGAGCAATCTTGATAAGCCGCCTTGGGTACTTGCCCCGACTGCCCCTAGTGTAAATCCACCACTGTTGAGACTGTTAACAGGAAAACCTACAGGTATTTTTTGTCGCCTGTATAAGCAGTATTATAGCTTTGCTAAGTGAATTAATAGTCATTGTAGATAGAGATTGAATTGTATTTTATGAATTTTAGGGTTTCTTAGTCTAATAAAAGAACACTTCATTATTTAGTACATTCCGTCCGTTTATAACTGCCAATTTAGTCGCTCGCTGGGTAGAATGGAACGGATTGTTAGATGGATTAAAAAAAATCTGTAGGTTTGTTCATGATATATTTCTTTCGAACGTCGCCTATCCGATAGAAAGTTAGTATGTTTGTTAGTGTGAAAGTATTAATAACAATCCGAGCCCAGTGCTTATAGTTAAACTGCTAGTTGCGTGATTAATATTGTTTTCTGAGTTTTAACTCTCTTCAACTCCGCTACGGAACTCTTTACCGCATTTAGTCCGAGAAACACCAGACTGTTTTTTTTTTAAACTAAGTCGATTTTTATTCGCGAAGGCTGTTATTGTCTCAATAACCACAGACAGTTTTACTATAATTTATAATCTGTGAATACAGGCAAGCGAGCATAATCTGGTAAACTATTAGTTTTCTCTTCAGTCAGGAATCGAGGGTAAGAAAGAGAGTCAAATTGCAAGGATATCTTGATACAACACGAGTCAGGTGTGTAACAAAAATAACCGGTCTTTATTCTTAGCTGTTTTGTTTAAATTTTTAATTATCACCAATATTTATAGCAATATGGCTTCGAAGAAGAAGATCTGCACTACTTAATGGATTTTTCATAGATTTTCAGTGAAGTGCATCTGTTTTGATGCGAGTGATATTTATTATTGAAAATGATTTGAAATATTTCCTTTTTTGTATGTTCCGTCGCGACATGGTGTAATCGTACCCAACGATGTAACTATGCCGGTCTTTAAATCCCAAATCGCGATCTCTATTAACGCCGGTGACCATTCAACGCTAGATGGGTTGAAACCTCTTTGATCGAAGTTGCGGGTAACAGCTGGCCTATCTGTAAAACTTCGAAACATGTCCCATTCAACACAATTTTTTTTCTCTTACCTATGCCAATAGCCTTGAGAGGCTATTGCAGCTTTACCCTAGCGTGTAGGTGAGCTCTCGGGGCTCAAACCGGAAGTGTTGCTAGCACTGGCCCTAGCAAGAGCCGTGCTTCGCAAAATCTACCACCGGATCGGAAACGCGACCCATTAAGAAGATCTGGCGAGAAGCTCAGTGGGCTGCGTCTATGGATTCATTTACTCGTCGAGCCCTTCGTCGCAAGCGACGGGTTCGGCGGAGACGATGACCGGTGCTTGAGGTACCTAAAAGCACTGTTAATGGATCGGAAGGATCCGTAATGACGTGTTCAACACATAATAATAATAATAAAGACGCGGTTCTAGTGATAAGCTGAAAATGCTACAAAAAATTCTTCCTTAAATAGCTTAATGTTCGTTAAGTTATTAGACTTTATATTATCATGTTAATAAACATCAAAGTTCTAAGGTGTCTCGAAATGGATGATTCGCGTTTTGGTATCAATAGACTCCGATCCTTGGCTCCAAACAAAATTGTGACATCCACTTGTAATATTCATAAATAAAAAAGCAAATGCAACTTGCATGGCTTACGTTGAACCAAGTATTAAGATAATTAAGAAAATATACTTTGAAAATTAGCATTAATAAAGATTTATCTATTCATCTACACTTTGTTAATAGACTAGTTAAAGGGCAATTAAATTTATTAGTCACCTTTATTGTCTAAAGGAGACACGCAATGCAACAAACAACCTTGCATTGAAAAATGATGGTACAATAGAAATAAGACGCAGTCGTGGTCTACTGGGTTATAAGCCTAGTTATGGTTGAACCGGTGGGTTTTTTTTCCTACTTACCTATCCTAGTAACCTCGAAGGGCTATTCTAGATTCACCGAACTAGTAGGTGACGTCACGGGGATCAAACTGCTAACGCTAACCCCAGCAAGAGCAATGCTTCGCAGAATCTACCACCGGATCGGAAACGCGACCCACTTAGAAGATCCGGCGAGAAACTCATTTTATTTATTTATTGATTATATGGGTGGACGATGTCACTGCGCACCTGATGTTAAGTGGTTACCGAAGCTCATAGACACCTACGGCGTAAATGCCGCCACCCGCCATTGGTTATTGCTAGTTGCTGGATATATGTGCTAATGACCCAGGAATATCATTCATTTAGACAAATCGGTACCTTTTTAAAGATTTTGAAGCCTGCCTGATACGACCACACGTCTGATCTTTTAGGCCACGGACGTTTCCAAACATACGGCCCCTATAGCAAATAACCGTCATTAGTTAATCATTAGATCAACTATTTGGAGGGTAATGAGCTCACAATTTGCAGTCAATGACGACGATTAGCTGATTATAAACAGGTCGGAATGGTCGACATAGGAGTAATTAACAAATTTAATAAAGTTGAATATAACGGTAGCTTTTTTAAATTTATTTATTGCATAGATGGTTGGACAAGCTCACAGGCCACCTGGTGTTAAGTGGCTACCGGAGCCCATAGACATCCACAACGTGAATGCCGGGAACAATTCTGTCATACATTATTTTAGCGAAACTTTAACCGTTTCTGCAGCGCACGCAGCGGAAGCTCTCAAAAGGTAAAAATAGGCCCGATTTTGAAACATGCTTTATTGCTGCTCCGCTTGTATTTATATGAGTGTTGGACTCCTTAATAATAATGACAATAAATAATAATGTTAATTTTAAATGCGCAGTGAAGCGGGCGAGTACGGCTAGTATATGACGCACAGGCCCGCCGCCGTCGAGCGGGGGCCAGGGAGGCGGATCTCGCCCAAGCCCTGGCCCTCTAAGTGTTACTGGTCTCCCTCACATGTCGGCCTGGGGACCGGCGAAGGGGGCCTAAGAAGACGACGTGCAAGCTGCTCTGCACGCGTTTTATGCATGAGCATCCGGGTGATGGATCCTCAACCCACGCTGGTTCTGACCCAGCGGGGTATTCCGTAGGATAGACCATTCTAACCGGCGCCATCTAGGCGGGCTTCGGATAGCCTGCCGACCGAGGGGGCTGGTGGTCGTGGCGCCGACGACCGCCAGTCCGGCGTCCCGACGGGGAGGGTGATGGGAGAGATGTGCTCAGCACTAAACGCTTCACTTTCCCCCCTTTGCCTTTTCATGAGTTTTGTCTCATGCGAGGTTCGGACGTTGGTTGTTGAGAGACAGGAGGTTTTAGTCGGTTCGACTCCGATATGCCCCGCCCTTCATCCCCAGTGAAGGGCGGAAGTCCGGCGATTTCCTCCTGACAAAAAAAAAAAGGGATCGGCTAGTATAAAATATACCTGTTTCCACCAGTGAAACACTGAGTATTCAAACACGAAGCAATTTTAAATAACATTTAAACGTTTTATACCTACCTATTAAAATTATCACTTGTATTTAAAACAACATCAACAACAACCGATAATTGACTAAACTATTTACAATTTATGTTTCATTTTTATACCCGTGTTCGTATTTTATAAAAATATCCTTGACTTTGAAAGGAATCCAACGAACGTAGACCTCTTTTGTCTCTTGTCCTTGTTAATATGAAACGATCTTTGAATATTGGTTTATTTAAAGGACTGTGAAGTACGATAAACTTTAATTAATATAATTAATTGTGAAAGTGTATGTTTTAATTTTCATTATGGAAGTTCGAAGCATCTTACGTGAAAACAGTCGACTCTGATTAGGTAAGCACCTAATACTATTCTACCTATTTTTACCGCGAACCATGGGTACTAGTATGAAGTGTGGGCTTCTATTAATTACTATAAGTCTTAGCCTTAGGTGGTAGCATTCAAGTCTATAGGCTCCGGAAATCACTTAACACCTAAGGTATGCTGTTAGCGCATCTACGTAGGTATCTAGTACCGCTGGCTGACACATATTTTATATACGTATGTAGATAGGGATCGCGGCGCATAAAATAAAACTTTCACTGTTCCAAAATCTTCTGTTATAATAATAATTAAAAATTAATTAACACTTTTATTACGCCTTGCTCATTTTTTAACCGTCTTCGCCATCTTTCTTTTCTCTTCTCTGTCTTTCAGTTTGTCATTCTCTTTTACATTTCTTTCAGTTTCCTCTCATCCACATATTAACGCTTCTTTCCACACTTTTCATACGTTACGTACTTGCCGATCCTACACGTATATAGATAATAAGCACCCAGCAACAACACAAAGAGCCAAAAAAGCTGTTCGTCACACGAATGTTTGCCCGATGTGGGAATCGAACCCACGACCCTCGGCGCAACAGTCAGGGCCGCTAACTACCGCACCACCGAGTCAGTCTATCATCGATCATCGAGATATCAATCATCAAGTCTCTATTGTATGTTTCAAACTAATAATATGTGCAACCTAACCTAAACATTAGCCCGCTAAGTTTCTCGCCGGATCTTCTCAGCGAGTCGCGATTCCGATCCGGTAGTAGATTCATTCGCGAAGCAACTGCCCTTGTGTTGTTAGGTCTCCTTTGAGGCGCTCGGGCAGCTATTAGCAAATCCCACCCCTCCTGGCTGAGCCTCTGCTCGCCCACCTGTCCTGGTAAAACTGGAGAGGCCTGCGGGCCACCAGTAATCCTTCATTCACAAAAAAAATATTATATAGCCTATAATCTGTGGTAAATAAGGCGGGAAATATATTCGTAGTTCATTTCGCTGGCAACAAAACCTTAATTTTAGCTCATGTACAGATTGAAAAAAACGGAAGTAAGTTATTGAAGCCTTTTTTTTTGTATTGTGCGCCAGCTATTAATATCAGCGTTTGCATGAACACTGAAAATGATAAAATTAAACCAAAAAATAAATTACATTATCGCACGTAGTTTGATATTCGGAAGTAATTACTATTATAATGGTGTTTTGAGGTTAGTTTACGTGATTGAAAAGTTTGAACATATTCAAACTATGCTTATTTGCACTTAAACAATTTTAAGTGTAAATAATTCGCTTGGAGTTGATATGTTACTTTTTGGTGTGATGTTGTAAGGATTTTACGGACTGGAAGAATCTAGGCGTAAACTAAATGATGTAATACTGGTAATAGCTGGTAATGTACTGAAAAATAAAACAAATACAGCTGGAACGGGGCTTATAATATATTCTGGAATGCTTTATGAAGCAGTCCAGAATATATTCTATTTAAAATTAATTCTAAATCGACTCATCTAGAATGTAAGTTCTAAGGTAAAACACAAAAAAAATACGCGAAGTGAGAACATCCTCCTTTGATAGGTCGTGAGAAATTCGACAGCATGTTTCGATTTTAGAATTTCAGCTCCATTATCATACTTGTATTTATTTTTTATTAAAAAAAAAAAAGCTAATTATTTTAAAAACACTTTCTTTAGCGGCTTATGGAATATATTATAATGTGTTTAATCTATCTCGTTATATATATTATACTATGTTATCGGTTTCTGAGACAAACGCACAGACCGACTTTATGGGTGCGGAACCCAATATTTTCGTAATTCACCACGGAATTCTCAAATGCAGATCAAAAATCAATGAACTGACAAGCATTTATTGTTATTTTAGCACAGAACTACGTGATTAATTATTATGGAACAAATAAATCTAAAGTGAGTGATATAAGCCAAAATTTTTTTTTATTGTTTAGATGTGTGGACGAGCTCACAGCCCACCTGGTGTTAAGTGGTTACTGGAGCCCATAGACGTCTACAACGTAAATGCGCCACCCACCTTGAGATATAAGTTCTAAGTTCTCAGTATAGTTACAAAGGCTACCCCACCCTTCAAACCGAAACGCATTACTGCTTCACGGCAGAAATACGCAGGGTGGTATTTCTGCCGTGAAGGTACCTACCCGTGTGGACTCACAAGAGGTCCTACCACCAGTAATTACGCAAATTATAATTTTGCGGGTTTGATTTTTATTACACGATGTAATAAAAATCATATGGATGGTAGCAGTTTTAACGAATGTATAAAAAACAACAATACTCACAAGAAAAAAATATTAAAATTCCATAAAACGGGCGCGAAGGTCGTTGTCATTTACTACTCCAATCAACGTATAAAACATAATCAATTAATTTAATACCGTCATCATTATAAAATCACAATCTAAATTATTAATCACAGGTACAAAATATTGGTAACTTATTGGATGTTTTATTTAAATTTGGTTGCCTGTCATTTTTTAACAAAAGCGCGCGAATATTTTTAGTGCGGGGAAAGCAGGCGATCCGCTTGATTTCTCCGTAGTGTTTGCCTCGACTCAATCCATCGTCTGACTGTTACACAATCGAAAGGCTAGTGATGTTAATAACTTACTAGTTTTGCAAACGCTAAACTATTCGCATTCATTATTTTTATTCCTCTTAAGTAAAATTCATAAGCTTATCAAAATAAATTGCCACTCCTTTTTACTTTTACGTAAAACGATTATGTAATGTATGTTTTCTTTTTAAATTACATTACTCTTTATCTAATGTCGATATGCATGTAAATAGCAAGCACATCACTACGGAAAAAATGCAGAGGTGGTCCAAGTTTGTCGGTCTAGTCACGTAAACGATTGATTGTGCAAATAGCACATAGTATTTTACACAATATACACACACATGTGACACATGCAAGAACCGTTATGACATAAAGTGAGTGATGCTTTCTAAGATTCTTTAGGGTTGTCATTTCGTAGATTCCGGTCAGGGTTGAACCGAAATTTTATATTAATAATACAGGTAATTACTTGGACCTGTCTAAGGCGTAAATTATTTCAAGTGCAAGCATTATATCATCATCTTCTCCTCTTCGGCTAATGAAAGATCGGTGGTCATTTTGAAATTTAATTTGGGTCAAACTTTTATTGCTGATTGCGTGCTGTGTTCAACAACAACAGCCAATCTAAGGTTAGTGAGATGACTACGTTAGAAAATAATTACCTATAATAAGAGGACATTGAAACTACGGGCAAATGATGAACAAGTCTGGGGTGTCACCAATTTCTTTTGAATAAAAGCCGGACGCACAATATTCTAGTAAGATCCATACCATAAACAATTACTTTGCTTTACGTTACTCGGATCCAGCCTTCAGCGCGCTGCGATTCAATACTCCATCGCCGCCGCACTGGCTACGTTGTTTAACATCAGGGTATTTTATGACTCATGAGTTACGCTGTGACTATAAGACCTCTTTACACTCTCGCGCCTTTTACCCTCACAGAGTTGATGTTAAAGCGACCTCTATATCCCTGAACAAACATCAATGGCACCGCCTGGGCAGCCTCACTAGCCATCTTTTTTATTTTCCTACCTATGCCGCTAACTTAGAGAAGCTATTTCAGCTTCGCCCTAGCATGTAGGTGAGCTCACGAGGCTCAAACCGGAGTGATGCTAACACTGACCCTAGCAAGAGCAGTGCTTCGCAGAATCAACCACCGGATCGGAAACGCGACCCACTGAACGATAACTCTATCGCTCAGTCGTCCTTGGATCTTAAATATTATATTATCATCTTTGCCCCTGGGACGGTTGGTGTTTAATGGAAACAACTTAAAAAAAGACTTAGACATCTACAACGTAGACGCGCCACCCATCTTGAGATACAAGTTCTATAGTCTCAGTATAGTTACAACGGCCTTCAAACCGAAACGCATTACTGCTTCACGGCAGAAATAGGCAGGGCGGTGGTACCTATCCGCGCGGACTCACAAGTGGTCCTACCACCAGTATATTACTTCAGAATATTACTTCATTAATAAGAATAATCGCTCGGGACGTATTCCGTCAAAAAAATTTAAGTATTATTTAAGTATGAATCGATTTCATTAAATCACCTCAAATGCAAGCTCAAAAACGATATACCCAATGCTCTAACGCATTGTGTCCGAAACCAAAGCTAAGGTCAGAACATGATTTCAAGGGCTTGATCAAGCTTTATTTACCCTAATTTAATTTTCGTTATCCTAATTATAGTTAGAAATCATAATTCGAATGTATTGTTGTATGTTTTATAATATACGTCTCAAAAGGGAGGCGGGAGTACTCAAAAAATGTTCACGATGGACTTCTGCGGTAAAGGAATATCATCGTGTAATAAAAATCATACCCGCAAAATTATAATTTGTGTAATTACTGGTGGTAGGACCTCTTGTGAGTCCGCACGGGTAGGTACCACTACCCCGCCTATTTCTGCCGTGAATCAGTAATGCGTTTCGGTTTGAAGGGTGGGGCAGCCGTTGTAACTATACTTGAGACCTTAGAACTTATATCACAAGATGGGTGGTGCATTTACGTTGTAGATGTCTATAGGCTCCAGTAACCACTTAACACCAGATGGGCTGTGAGCTCGTCCACCCATCTAAGCAATAAAAAAAATATAAGTTCAATTAAAAACATCGAACTGTTTATGCTATGAGTAATACCAAATAAAACGCACTTTTAATTATAGTGATAAATTTCGCTTATTCAGCGAAATGTCGCCTAAACCAAAGAGTCGTCCCTCGATATGGTTTAAAGTTTATAAAAATAAAATATCTATAAAATCAAATAAAACATCTATTATATTGAATTCGTGTTTTTTGCCTAGACTGAGCTCACGAGGTCTCTCGTGTTAAAAGCTTACCGGAGCCGAAAAATGTCAAAAACATACCGTGACGAGATCCATCCTTGCGATTTGCTAAGTCTCAAATATATTAAGTGTGTAATCTATGGTTCTAAGCTTCAGTTTTACAGTACAGCCCCATCCTTCAAATCGAAACGCATTACAGTTTCGCTACAGATGTACGCAGGGTGGTATCTATCCATGCGGTTCAAAAACGCCCTACCACCAGTAAATACTGTGTATTCGAATGTTTAAATTGGCGCGTCCTATAGACCGCCTGGCTCATTACCACCACCATTACATTAATTACATTAAATGTTAAATGTTAATGTAATGTGTAAAATTACATTAAATGTTTCAATGGGAACTCATGACTGCTCCATGGCAGAAAAGTCAGTATTTTGATTCGTCTCACGCCTTGTTACAGAACATTATTTATCTGCTCTTGCTATGTCTGGTGTTAGCAATTTCTCTAAGGTTGAGTCTGTGGCATGCGTACAACCCTATGTAATTCATAGTTTTAATCATACTGGCCAAAAGGCTGACTTCATTCGCGTGGTACACAATACAAACTATTGATATTTTTGTACAATAAAAAAAAATTAATAAGTAAAGTAGGACACCGATTAAAAACTAAGAAAACATAAACGAAAAGTCAACAAAATTGTGATATATATAGTACATAATAAATAAGCCTGTTAATTTTTGAATGTTTTATGTCAAGTCTCAATCAAATCTAGAACTATGTAACTAAAATTACTACTATAGAAATGCGTATTACGTATTTTGTTGCTTAAATTAAATATAAAGTAAAAGTTGTTTTTAATTGCATACCATAAGGGCAAATTTACGAAATTAAAATTTAAAAAAAAAGCCCTAGTTCCAACAGTGGACATAAAGTGGGACGTTAAATTCTTGAATTTTTTTTGCGATTCTATATCTTTGGTTTTGTGATGTCTTTAATATTGTAATTTCTACTTGTTTGCACAGGGAACTCCTGTGCCTGTCAATCTCAATATAGAAAAGTAATGAAATATGTGATTTATTTAATTTAATTTTATTTATATATGTATTTTCATATATTCTCTAACTTTCCTAATCTTTCCCTTGCGAATCCGATCAACTTTTTTTTTATTACGTAGTTTCCCAAGCTTTTATTTTGCTCTGTGGCAAATGCGCAAGCCGCGCGAGCCAAAATCAAACAGAAGAAGAAGAAAATGTGATGCCACAATATAAAAATAATTTTAACTACCTACACCAAATATCGCGGATCAAAATTGTTAAATCACGCACGGAAATATGTAGATAGATTTTTAAATTCAATAACAATGACATAGTTTCCTGCTTAATACAATAAAATGTAGTTGACACTTCTCGGCCGTGTTTGTAGGGTGGCAGTATCTTTTCTTTGCCTATCTACCTGCTAGTGGCCTCGAAATGCTGGCTTCGGCTTGAAGGACGAGCTAAAGAAGTTCAACCTCAGAGAATTTGCTAAGATCTGCTCTAGTAAAAGCTACTCTTGCTTCGCTGAATCTACCACCGGATCAGAATCGCAGCCCACTGAGAAGATCCGGCGAGAAACTCAGTGGGTTTATACAATATACTTAGTTTGGCCATAAATACTGTTACAATAAAATAAAATAAAAATATTACATTTGAATTTGGAATCTGTCATTTTTATATGATTGCTCGTTGAGTTTTCTCATTTTGGCGCCAATACATTGTACAATATTTTGCGATATTAAAATGGAGTGGGGTGATAAAGAGAACCGAATCGCTGTGATTGCATTACACAAAGTAGGTAAGGTATGGGGCCAAATGCAATTTTTAAAACTCTCCATACGCTTGGTATTAGTAAAATGTTTGTTTACCGGGCTATTAATAGGTGCAATGAGACCTTTTTGTGACAGAAAAGATCTGGCCGTCCACGTAGTGTTCGTACGAAAAAGGTGGTCAAAGCAGTAAGGAAAAGAATTCGAAGAAATCCTGTCCGAAAGCAAAAGATTTTATCTCGGGAGATGTTGAAAGCACCTAGAACCATGTCGCGTATTTTAAAAGATGACTTAGGACTTGCAGCCTATAAGAGACGTACTGGTCATTTCTTAACTGATAATTTAAAAGAGAATAGGGTGGTAAAATCGAAACAACTACTGAAGCGGTACGCAAATGGAGGTCATAGAAATTTTTTGTTTACGGATGAGAAAATTTTTACAATTGAGCAACATTTTAACAAACAAAATGACCGTATTTATGCTCAAAGCTCTAAGGAAGCTTCCCTTGATAGCATTGATAACTGGCCTCAACGTTTAAAGGACTGTATTGCAGCCAATGGAGACCACTTGGAATAAGTTTTTTATACTTTAAATTGTTTTATATTTATGTATTAAACTAACACACTGTAAAAGTAATAAATGTTATTTGCAATAGATTTTTTTTTATTTTTTTATTGTAACAGTGTTTATGGCCAGACTACTAATAACAGCAGCAGCAAATAAAACAACAGGCGTCAGCAAATCTCCAAATGAATTATGCAATGCTTGCCACTCTGTCTCAAGGATAGATCACTTTTATTGTACAAGAAAACTTGAGTTATATACTAAACAAAACAAAATCGATGGAAAAATAGCGGGGAAAATGCAATTAAAACCTCTATTTCAATTGTCAATATATACTTCCGAAAAAAAAATGCAGTCAAAAATGTAGGTACTTACGTTGTCTCCTTACAAATCAAAATGAGCGGGCCAAACGTACGCGCTATTACCGGAATTGCTCAACCGAAATAAAGAAAAATCAAACAACGAACAGAACGTTTCTAAAATAAGGAAATAATTACTTTATTTTAAAAACCTAGTCAAGGTTCAAGGAATCAAACGCAATAAGTGATAATAAAATATTTTTTATCATTCTAATAAAATGGCGGATCGATCAGACAGGGTTGGTACTCGTTTTGAATCATTAGCATTTATAATTAGCCCTTACGATTAATTACATAATAGTCAATTATGTACAGGTTGGACACAGCAATATCTCGTTACATTAAACTACAAACTATGTACTTATGTATATGGTTGTAATATTTTTTTTCATTACCTATTCGCTGGTAGCGTAGGAGGCTATTCCATCTACGCCTGGACGGGTAGGTGAGCTCACGGGCTCAACCTGAGGGAGTTTGATAACACTAGCCCTAGCAAGAGTAGTGCTTCGCAGAATCTACCGCCGGATCGGAAACGCGACCCACAGAGAAGATCGGGCGAGAAACTCGGTGGGCTGTATCTGTGGGTTAATTTTTTTGCTAATTTTGTTAATTAAGTTAATTGGAGGAGACATTCAAATATCTGTATTAATCTTACTGTGAGCCAATAAAAATGTCCGAAGCTGCAGACGGGGATCTAGTAACAGTTAAATTATGTTTAACAAATTAAGGAGTAGCAGTTAAATTAAGTGCAACAAATTAATTTTGTTGTATTGTTATTTTAAAATTGTATGACATCTGTGGTTAGATAAGCGATCACACCATTTTAAATAGCGGGTTATATATAATTAATCGACTTCAAAGGTGGAGGTTCTCAATTCGACTGTATGTTTTTTTTTATGTTTGTTACCTCATAACTTTTGACTGGGTAAATCGATTTTGATGATTCTTTTTTTATTAGAAAGCTCACGCTTCACGTGTGGTCCCATTACAATTTAGTCCCGTTCTGATAATGGTATCCATGAGAAAACCATATAAGTCTTATATTTACATTAAGTACGTGCGCGACAAATAGATAACTCAATAACTCAATATCACGACAACCGATTTCTATGATTATTGTTTTTAATGTATATTAATTTGTTTTGGAATATCTTTTTTTTTCAATTTGAAGTCGTTTTTTGTTAAAGCATGTCTATTTACAATTATTTTATTTAAGGATTAATAGATAGATAATAGATTTTATATTTATCACAAATGCATTTTATTTAGTACAAGCCTTTATGTTTTCAGATAGTTTTGTTTTTATATCCGCACACGGTATTACTAATAATAATATTAAATTATTATTTATTTATTATGTATTAATGCAGCAGCGTTACCGACCCTAACCCATAATAATTGTAATTGAAAATAAATGAAAAAAGTTAAACGCCAGTCATCAACCATTGGCTGTATGTATTCTAATTTCATGGATTTTAAATTAAATCGTGATACTTACGTGTGTATCGTCTGATTTACATAAAAATACGTCGTTCTTTTATGTCTTAATACAAACCTATGAAAATATTTGTCTGATTCCATTATGTTTTCAATATTTTTCCTTGATGCGAACTAAGAGACAGTGAGAAAGCAATTGAGGATTTTATTTGAAACCAAACATATTTTTTTTTAATGTGTGATGCTATGTAACGCTTCCTTCAATCATCTGATTGCATTCGCATGCATTTGTATGGAGTCATTGCTTTCATTACTTTATAGGAAATTATATATTTTTTTATTGATTAGACGAAATTCACGACTACTGTTTGAAGCCCCACGCTTCAGTAATTTTACAAATGAGATTTCAAAGTCACGTATCAAGGTGAGTGGGGATGTTCGGGTCGTGATGCATATGTTTTTTTAGGTTAAAAGGATTACTGGTTGCCTTTTCAATTTCACCAGGACAGATGGACGAGCACGGTCTCAGCTGAGAGGAGTGGGATTTACTGACAACTGTTCAAGCGCCTCTGTAGGAGACCTAACATCTCAATAGCAACTGCTTCCCCAACACATTTACTATCGCATCAGAATCGTGACCGCTAAGAAGATTTGGGGAGAAACAATAGGCTATGTTATGACTTAACTCTTTGACGAGTTCGACGTGTACGGTTACCAGGGTCCCTATTCTAGCTCCTAGTGCTAGAACTATGGAAGGTAAAGGTAAGGAGAGCCGTCTTGTATAGGTTACAAGTTGAAAAGGTGTCCGTCAGTAAAAAGCAAGCTTTTGCTGGAAGATTCACCGCAATAGCACCAGTGCTATATGAGAAGTTTTAAACAGAATGAAGTGAGCTGGATTGAAATGTAGTGTGGTAGTTTAAGGCAATTTAAGGTAATTTTACTGGTGGTAGAACCTCTTGTGAGTCCGCGCGGGTGGGTACCACGGCCCTGCCTATTTCTGCCGTGAAGCAGTAATGCGTTTCGGTTTGAAGGGTGGGACAGCCGTTGTAACTATACTTTAGAACTTACTTTAGACTTTAGAACTTATATCTCAAGGTGGGTGGCGACATATTTACTTTGTTAATGTTTATATGTTCGAGTGATCACTTAACACTAGATGAACCGCGACATGATCAGCCTATGTAAGCAATAAAAAAACATTATGCACAATCTAGACTTGATAAAATATTTTCACCAACTACGTATAAAGTCATCTATTTATGACTAGCTCGACTTAGAAGAAAATATAAAATTAATAATATTACGTGTTTGATATGTTTGCGTCTGTGCCCAATAGTCCAAGATCCCAGGGCCCCCAGACGTCACGTATTTTCTGACGAACTAAATGTGGCCGATTGCGTAGTGTTAGTATGTACTAAGAACTCATGCCTACCTGCTCCTTGCTTAGACGGCCAATTTTCAGGTATCAGGTACTCAAGGTACATAAAATCATCACCTACTTCACGTATTTTCTGAAAGCTGATTTTTACGTATATTTTAGGCAGTATCCTTAAAAATAAGTCGCCAATACTCCCAGATACTTTCCGTCGGTCGAATTGCTTTGCAGACGCTTTATAGCTCCCAAAATAATGACCTAACTTCACGTAAATTCTAAAAGCTGATTTTTATACATGTCCACCAGACAACCATTTTAAAAGCTCTTACAAAAAGACAGACCGATCCAAGGGGCCAATCATCCCCTAAATTCAATTTAATGCCTCTGTGGGTAATAGCGTGAGGGCATTATCCACGCGCATGAGACTGAGTGAGACATGTATTAGGATATATTGACTTCTCTGTCTCTCTGTCTCTCTATCTCTTACAGTTGACTCATATCAATTAATAATATTAAAAGAAAATCAGTTAAAAAAATATGTGATGATTTTTATGTACCTTGAGTACCTGATACCTGAAAATTGGCCGTCTAAGCAAGCTAGCAGGTAGGCATGCGTTCTTAGTACATACTAACACTACGCAATTGGCCACAATTCGTTCGTCAGAAAATACGTGACCTCTGGGGGCCCTGGGATCTTACTCTACAATGGATTCGGTTTTATGGCTTTTGACGGCAAGACGGAAGAAAGTCGGAAATATACTATCAAGTTTCTTTGGTCTTCAGGATTTATTTAAAAAACGCCTGTTTTTATTTTTCTTGTCCTTGCTATTGAAATATGCTAGGCGTTTTGGAAATTAGTTTTGTACGGATTTTATTTGTTAAAATCATTTAATCATTCTAACAATTACGTGAATTTTAATTTTCTTTTTTCAATTATTTTCAAGTCAAAATCCATAAAATAGGCAGACCAATGTATTAATGCCCAACAAAGATTATTTTTAATGTGTCGATTTCTTAAAATTCTATTAAATTAACTTTTATTTTTATTTTGTAGAGTTTTTAACTGCGTGTACGTTTCTTTTGTGAATCTAATATTACTCGTTAGTCCACCTATCCTTTATTCATATATATTCACTTATCATTATCTACTGACCTAATAGTTGATCAGCCTGCAGAACTTGCGGAGCCTAAGTCGCTGCAACTACAAATAACATCTGTAATTACTGTTTAATATCTTAATTCACTTGCACGAAGTCAAGATGCGTAAATAATAATAATAAAAATATATATGGGTACCTAGTTCATTTACCTTTGAGAACTTAATTAATGTCATTGTCTATGAATTCTTTAAGGCATTTCTTGTTGATTACGCTTGCTCACAAAATGCGACGTGGAAAAAAAGACACGAATTGTCTATTCGCCACTAAAATGGCGTCGTCGAAGGAAACCTATTGCTTGTGCGGGCAGCCGTATAATGTTGGACAATTTATGATAGAATGTGATTGTTGTCGTGAATGGTTTCATGGCAGGTAATGTTGAAAATATATAAATAAAAGTGAGATTTTTTTTTTGTGTGTTAAAAAATGTGCAGTGAAGTTTGACAGCTCGTTGTTGCGGCCATCACTTTGGTGTCGAATGTTTTATTGAAATAATACATTTTTATTATTTTACGACATAAAATTGTGTCTGTTTTATGTTAGAATCAGCATAATAATTCTATTATGAGCACACATTAACATGGTTTTTATTTCACTAATTGTTTACACTGTTCGTCGCTATGGAAGTGAAAATGCGCCTTACCGCGGTTTATTCTTTGTGTTTATTTTTAATTTTTGATAATACGATAAGGTCTTACAATTGTTTAAAACTTTCTAAATAATTTATATGTCACCGGTATAAATTAATACATAATTTTTCTGTAAGTACCAAGTCAGTTTTTCTTTTTAATTGTTAGCGCGTTTTTTGTAGCACTTCTTGCAGTCATATCTTACTCATTGTATAAGGATTGAGCAAAGTCTTAACTCAATCCATTAAAAAAACTGGTGGCCGATTGAAATATAAGTAAATACTAAATATTTTTTATGAGAAATTTATAAAAACATAAAACAACATTACATTTAAGAAAATTAGTAGAAAGTGCTTTTTTATTTATTTAACATACGAAACAATACTTCCAAAAATGATGTAAAGTGTAATATTAAAATTTAGGTAACGCTTTTAATGAGTCAACACAGGCAAGACTGCCAAACAATTTTATGAATTTCACTAATAACAATTGCGTTGAAAGAGGTAGCATTGTCAAATTAGATTTCGACCACTACTCTTTTAGCCCACAGTAGTGTCTCGTGAAAATAAGTCTAGTGATAATTTTTTGCAAAACTACATTCTGATGTCCTAAAAGTACCATTTCATATTTCCATTAACTATTTTATTTTGCATTTTTATTCTTTTTGAAGTTGTATTCAAATGTTTTAAAGTATGTGGTGTTACTTAAAAAAGTAGTTAAATAAACAATTAGAAAGCAACAGGATTCTTTTAATATACCTGACACAATATTCTGTAATTCTGTCAATTCAAAAACACAAACAGACTAATTATTTGAAAGATCAGATTAAGATATGACGACAATAAGCATACTATTAAATAGTCATTATTTCTTTAGTAATGCTTATGACTATTGAATACTTCAAAATTCTGTGAATCAATTGTCCCAATTGAGCAATAGTGGGAAAGATATGCTGACATCGTTTGATACTGAATATAAAAAGTTATATATTTTTTAAGAAAGTACATTATAGGTCTTTGTTTCTTTTTTTATTTATGGCTTATATGGTTGGACGGGCTCACAGCCTGGTGGTAAGTGTTTACTGGACCCCATAGAAATCTGCAATGTAAATGCCGCCACCCACCTTGAGATATGAGTTCTAAGGTCTCAGTATAATTACAACAGCTGCCCCACCCTTCAAAGCAAAACGCATTACTGCTTCACGGCAGAAATAGGTGGGGTAGTGGTACGTACCTGTGTGGACTCACAAGAGGTCCTACCACCAGTAGAAAATGTGCTTATAAAATTTACTTATGCTGTTTTCTGTGACTTAAGCAACAAACAATATCCACATCAATCACTATTACAGTTGTCCTAGTCATTCCTTTTCCAATATACACCACTTAATCTGATCTTCTTGTGAAAGATTGTTGCTTCTATGGCATAAATGTCCACCCTGCTGCCATTTAAGCTTACGGATCTCAGTTATGTTGAAGATTTTAGTTTTATTTTACTTAAGCAGAATATCATAAGTACTCAATATTTCTAGCTGTATATTTTCTTATAACTTGCAAGTTCTTATTTAATTCTACTATTAATAATTAATTTCTACCTAGTTATGCTGATCCTGACCTCTTCAAGGAGTTGTAATATCATGTAGGCAGTTGTAAAATTATGTGATTACTAATGATTACATAGATTTATATCATGTTCACTCAGCTTTATGGACAAAAAGATGATACCCAAGACTAGTTTAATACTTTTAATTATAATGAACAGTCATTGCATTGAAAATGTAAGTTTTTAGTTAATAAGGTTTTATAATTGATATGTTAGAGATTTTATTACTTAATGGATTTAAATATCTTGTAATCTACTTTGTAATTAATGATAACTAAAGAAATGTATTCAAAGAAATACTACTTTTTATTGTTTTTTTCCCTATATTACACTGGTAGTAAAGCCAGACAACATTCCTAAACAATTTTATGCAATTTTAGTTGAGTTTTGGGTGTTAGCAATAAGCAGAAGTATTTCAATCTTTCAGGTACCTTAAAAATTAGAATTAAATGCAAAGCAATTCGATCAAATAGTGCTGTACATATTTTTAATAAAACTAATATATACTATGTAATTGGGATCACACTGTGATTTACAGTTTTCTAATTATTTGGACATTGCTGAAAAAACAGTAGTCTGCACTTCGATAATATTATGTATAAATAACATCTAATCTGCCATTGATCAAATGTAGATTGTGTTCACAAGTATTCACAGTGTATTATTGTTAATTTGAAAACATTGGCCTAGCATAATATGCATATATTATATGACATTCTGTCAAAATCTGTAATAATAAAATATTATGTTCCCTTAGAGAATCAAATAACAATGAATGTCTATCTTATTTCAGCTGTGTGGACGTCAAAATATATCAATCTGATGACATAGACAAGTACCACTGTCCAAAATGCGCCCAAACATACGGATCTTCAGTGTGTAAGTATTTGTGCCTTGTTTTTCTTTGCTGGATTTGTGTAAATTATTTCACCAGGCCTAAGTCCATGCTGGAAACTAGCGTGGGTGGTATTAGTGATCTGAAGATATAAGGCTCAATTTTCAACTGTATCTTAAAGTAATCATGTCCTACCATTAAATTTGAAAGACGAGATTGTTTTAAATTTTACGTGGTGGTAAGTATTTTATTTCTGAATTTTTCTAAAATTATTCTGTAGTAGTATCAATTGGTATTTGTTTTTTAATGGAAAGATTCATTAATATGTGATAGTTAGTGATAACGTTTTTCTGATGAGGAAAATAACTAAAACTTGTATTTACGAAATAATTGAAATAGGCTTTAAAGGAATAAGTGTTTAAAGTTTCGGTTGGATGTATCACTCAAAATAGATTGCTAAAGTTACGTGATAAGGCTCAGATTAGTTAAGCAAGAACATTGTATACACTATATTATAAAGGGTATAAGGAAGCCTGCATTTGCAATAATTTCACTTTTATTAATAATAATATGACAGAAATTATCTTTGGCTCACACAAATCTGTCATTTAGAGAGACAGTTATTGCCTGAGTCGAAAATGGATTTATGTACATAACTCAGAAAACATCACTTGCTAAATCTTACCTTAATATTACGTTAGTGCATTCACATGTGCACTAGCAATATAACAATCTTAGAGCGTGAAGGGTGGGCCGTCGGTGATTTAGTGATTCAAATTTACCAACCAGCAGACACGAAGTTTTCTAAAAAACCAAACCATAACATTTCTATGAAAAAGTTGTCCCAGGGGTGAACGATCTCTGGGAGACTAACTGCTGAGTTTAAATTGTAAAATTGAAATTTATAAGTCTATGCCATATTCAGCATTTAACTTATTTAACAATTTTGTTTTACTACATGAAATAATTGTATTTCAGTAAAAATTCCAACAAACAATCACCGGGCCGACAGGTACGAGCTCGGGGCGGAGTCAAGACCATCACAGGTTGGCACCCCAGCATGGGTCAGAGCGTTAGCCGCCAGGGCTCCACGACCTTCGGCTCAGGCGTTGCAGCAGATGCGGGCTGAACAATTCACAGAGGAGTTTGTTAGAGATAATGGTATGGCTTTCAAAATTAATACTTTTTTTCTTTCTTGGTTGGGTAGACGACTTCACAGCCCACCTGGTGTTTAGTGGTTACTGGAACCCATAGACATCTACAACGTAAATGCGCCACATACCTTGAGATATAAGTTCTAAGGTTTTAAGTATAGTTACAACGGCTGCCCCACCTTTCAAACCGAAACGCATTACTGCTTCACGGCAGAAATAGGCAAGGTGGTGGCACCTACCCACGTGGACTCACAAGAGGACCTACCACTAGTAATTACGCAAATTATAATATTCCGGGTTTGATTTTTATTACACGATGTTATTTCTTCACCGTTGAAGTCGTGAACATTAGTATGTATTTAATTCGAAAAATTGGTAACTGCCTGGGATTCGAACACCGATCCATCGTTCAACACGAATGCACCGGACGTCTTATCCTTTAGGCCATGACGACTTCAAAACTATCCATCTATCTTAAAGCACTTAGATGCCGAACACAGACACATTTATATTTATTCAGTGGTGTTCTTCTTCTTCAATTCTTGTGTACGATTTAATGACCAAAGCATTTGTTTTATTTCAGGTTTTACCAAGCCGGTAATATTTCATTCACCGGAAGGTCTAGATATGAAAATGCCAAATCCTAGTACGTTTACAGTAAGATCGGTCCTGAGGTTCTGTGGAGCACAATTAGAAGTGAGTAGTATTGTAGATTTAAATAAAAATTAGATTTTGGTAACTGTAGTTTCCATTATGACTGACTTATTTTTTTTTCACGGTGGCTATGATAAACTACAAGAAGATTAAATACTAATGTGTGTTGTTAAGCTTCAATGCTGGCATAGTTATTTACAATACAATTTGGCGACTCCAACTTTATCCATTAAGTTGAGTGACAGAGTACTTATTGTGGGATTAAGGGGCTTCAGTCAAATTGATACCAGATGAACCCTCAGTTTTGTCCATGATGATTATTGACAATATAAGCAGCATGGTCGGTAATAACGTAGGTCCCCTCAAAAGCGATTTAATTGGTAAGCCAAACCACGTGAGATACAGGTGTAGACAGGTGTAGATAGACCGTAATGGCCAAGCGACAGGGCTTAATACCGAACGCGCCGAAAACATTACGCGTCCGCTGCTCCCGCGTTTTCTATCTATTACACATCAGGGGTGAGCAACCTGTTTCATTAATGGGCCATATTAAATTGTTATTGTTTCTGGGCACACATAGATTAGGTAATTCTTAATAATAATTAACGCAACTATATTTATAATACATATTAGAATAAAAAAATATAAAACTAGAAAAAAGGAAGATTTCATTTACAAATTGTAATGCAAGATAAAAACAAACAAGAAAAGAACTAAAAAACGAATTAATGGGATAAAGTCGATAAAAAAAAGGGTGCGTGTACTTATGTACGCCCGTAAGAAGTTATACTTTATTTTTATTAAATTTACTTCTTTTTTTATTTAAATTTTAATCAATTTGAGAAAAAATCGATTAAACAACATCCTCAAATACGCATATTGGACATCCCTTTTCTTGACGTCGTATAAATTCGGTAATTCTCGGTGCGGTTCGGAAAGTTCACCTGCGGCTATATTCAGACTCGCCAAGTTACGTCGGTCGTAATGTAATGAGCGATTTAGTGGGCAACTTCATTCTGTTAGTTTTGTGTCACGGTGCGCGCGCATCGTAAAATTTCACTCTCATAAATTTTTCATAACGCGCCTAAAGAAGTATAACTTCAATAAATTCAATTTGACAAATGCTTGGCCTTGTGTTGCTCATCCTTGATCTTGTTCATACATGTTATAAAGTGAGAAAGTTTGTTCATGTCGGAATCCACATGTTTGTTATTTTCGCAGGTGGAAGTCATAGACGTAAGGAAACAGTCGACGCAGAGGATGTCGCTGGCAGATTTCGTTGACTATTTCGAGACTCCGCCCGAGCACCGAGACGAGAAGGTCCTGAACGTACTGAGCCTAGAGTTTTCTGAAACAAAGTAAGTAAGGACACATTTTTAAACAACTTTAACTTGACCTCTTTTCTCACGATGTTACTTAAGTTCGAACTACACTGTGTCGAAATGAAATAATATCACAATTTTTTTTGTTGCTTACATGGGTGTGGACAAGCTCTCAGCCCATCTGGTGTTAAGTGGTTACTGGAACCCATAGACATTTACAACGAAAATGTGCCACCCATCTTGAGATATAAGTTCTATGGTTTCAGTATCTATCTACACTTAATATATAAATCTACAGTGGTTTTTACGGATGTTCCGTTATAACTACTGGACCGTGCATCCGATTGACTCGAAACTTGGTATCCATGTAGAAAATACATGTACTTAATGGATAGTCTAATATTTATATGAGTGTTGAACTCCCTACACCAGTTGCGGGGGCGTTAATGATGAGAATCTTTGTGGGGGTGAGAAATAATGTTAATTTTAAATGCCCAGCGAAGTGGCCCGTCCACTTCACTACACTCACTATATAACTACAGGTAGTAGTTATATATTATAATCAATATCACAAATAATCTTTAAAAATAAAATTTCAGACTGTCAGGGCTGGTGAACCCGCCCCACGTGATCACCCGGCTGGACTGGGCGAGCCGCGCCGTGCCGCCGCACGAGGTGCTGCGCCCCGCCGTGCAGAAGTACTGCCTGGTGTCCGCGGCCGGCTCCTACACGGACTTCCACGTGGACTTCGGCGGCACCACGGTCTGGTACCATGTGCTGCACGGACGGAAGGTTAACTACACACTTTATTTTGTAATTACACTTGAAATATCTCTCACTCTTTGTAGGCAGCGGCTTGGCTCTGCCCCTGGCATAGCTGAAGTCCATGGGCGACGGTAACCACTCACCATCAGGTGGGCCGTATGCTCGTCTGCCTACAAGGAAAAAAAAAACTGCACTCACCACTGTTTCTTAAGTTTACATACAAGTTACACAAGTCCACAACATTTTTATTGATGGCAATAGGTCGATTTTATTAATCAGAAGAATCGTTCTTTTTTTATTGCTTAGATTGGTGGAGGAATCACAGCCCACCTGGTGTTAAGTGGTTACTGGAGCCCATAGACATCTACAAAGTGAATGCGCCACCCACCTTGAGATATAAGTTCCAAGGTCTCAAATATAGTTACAACAGCTACCCCACTCTTCAAACCCAACCGCATTACTATTGAAACATTCAGATCCAATGGAAGTGCTTGTTTCAGATATTCTATTTGATACCACCGACCACCACGAACCTGGCGCTGTACCAACAGTGGTGCTCGTCGAACAATCACAACGAAAGGTTCTTCGGTGACATGGTGAGTTTGAGTACTCTCTTGACATAATATTATTATTTTTTATTTTTATTTATTGTCTTTGCAGGTAGACGAGTATACGGCTCACCCGACGGTAAACGGTTACCGTCGCTCATGGATGTCAGCAATGGACAGAGCCAAGCCGCTGCCTACCTACTAGAGAACATTTTTTTAAATTTAGAAAACTAGTAACGCCCTCTATTGAGTATATATGTAGTATATGTGGCTGTAGCTGTGATTTTATAGGCGACTAGCTGCACCCGTCCGCTTCGCTGGGCATTTAAAATTAACATTATTATTTCTCACCCCCACAAAGATTCTCATTATTAACGCCCTCGCAACTGGTGTAGCGAGTCCAACACCCACATAAATATTAGCCTATCCATTAAGTACATGTATTTTCTACATGGATACCAAGTTTCAATTCAATCGAATGCACGGTTCAGTAGTTATAACCGAACATTCGTAAAAACCACTGTAGATTTATATATAAGTATAGATATACCCATTGACTTCAATATCTGTTTGTACTGGGTCAGGTGGAATGGTACGGCACGGTGGAGGTGTCTGCGGGACAGACCCTGTTCATCCCGAGCGGCTGGGTGCACGCCGTGCTCACGCCCTGCGACTCCCTCGTCTTCGGCGGGAACCTGCTGCACTCCTACGCGATCGAGATGCAGCTGCAGTAAGATGATTCATAATAAATAATAATGCTCCATTCATTGGTTTTTAATGTAATATATACTAATATTATTGTGAGGTTTTATGGTGTTGAGGGCTTATTGTGCGTTCTCCTCTGGAAACCTCATCAGAGTGGTCAATAAAACACTGAGTATTATTAAATGTTTATTCGTGTCAGCGACCGCGCTGGATCGCTGAACTTTAACCACTGACTGACTAACGTATGCTGCTCATTACTACATGCATAATAACTGCATAGTAAGCTAAGCGGGGCGGAGTATAATTCCCCTACACTCTAAAGAGGAAAGGTTTGTTTGTTTGTTTGTATTGAATAGGCTCCGAAACTACTGAACCGATTTGAAAAATTCTTTCACTGTTTGGAAGCTACACTATTCCCGAGTGACATAGGCTATAATCTTTTATGTAAAAAATTAGGGATCCTTACTAAAACTCCATTAATGTAACCCAAGGTGTAAAAAAATTACCTAAAATATTCTCTACATCACATGCCCTGCAAAAACTTTTGGTCATAGAATAAAATAATGTACTACGACTTTGTGGAACACATCATTATTTACAAAAAGTGTCGCGACAGCATGTGTCTAACTATTATAGTTATGCCGCAATAAGATAAAACAATGTCAAATGTTGTTGAAATTTTTGTTAAAGGCCCGAACGCTAGTTATGATATAAGCAAATTTTTTTATGAACTAACTCTTTGTTTATTTGTCAAGGATTTATGAGATTGAAAAAAGAGTGGAAACTCCTACGTTGCTGCGTTATCCGCTGTTCGAGGCGATGCACTGGTACGCCGGTGCTCATCTACTCACCATGCTCAGGAGACACAACGAGGAGATTCAGGTGTGTGCAATCTCTGGTAGTTCAATGATCCAATATACACATACCACATTTTCCTTGTGCACGCAATGGCGGTCGAAAGGATTTAGTGCTATTGTCGTCCGTAAAGATGGAAAGAAAAATGATAAATGTATCTCTGTTTTTCCTACCTGCTACTGGTTTTATTTCTTCAGAAAATAGATATCTGGCATCTGGGTTTCTCTCAATCAATCAAATCAATTTTTGTATCTGTTTTTATTTAATAGTTAGGCGAATCAATTCACGACCGACCACGTTTTAGGTAGTGACTGCGATCCACAGACATCACAAAGTCAATGTGGCCAGTTTGAGACAGATCAAAGTCTGAATCGTACAGTTTAATGGCTGTCCTCATCCTTTTACAACGCATAACTGCTGCCTGGCAGAAATAGGCATGTATGGTGGTGCCCGTACGAACTTATAATTCGGAGGTTAACAAGACGATTATTTTTGATTCAAAGCATAGTATGTATAAAATGGAGGCAGATACCTTAAAACTTGTTGTTCCTATCACCAGGACGAAGACTTTATTATAAGCGAGAGCTGCGTACAGACCGCGCCGGCCCAGCTGCCGCCCCTGCTGCTGCGCGGCATCAAGATACTGGCCAACGCTTTGAAGGAATGGCACGCTCTTAAAAGTGTAAGTAAACGATATGGGTCATAATATTACTAGTTAGTGGGTTAAATAAACAAGATTTATTTGTTGTAAACACAACATTGGGTCCTAACGAGTCAGGAGCGCGTTTTTCACGCGGCCGGACTGTAGTGGCCGGACTGTAGCGGCCGGACTGTAACGGTTGGACTGTAGCGTCTGGACTGTAGCGGCCGGACTGTAACGGTCGGACTGTAGCGTCTGGACTGTAGCGGCCGGACTGTAACGGTCGTACTGTAGCGGCCGGACTGTAACGGTCGGGCTGTAGCGGCCGGACTGTAGTGGTCGGACCGTAGCGTCTGGACTGTAGCGGCCGGACTGTAACGGTCGGACTGTAGCGTCTGGACTGTAGCGGCCGGACTGTAACGGTCGTACTGTAGCGGCCGGACTGTAACGGTCGGGCTGTAGCGGCCGGACTGTAGTGGTCGGACCGTAGCGTCTGGACTGTAGCGGCCGGACTGTAACGGTCGGTCTTTGGCGGCCGAACTGCAACGGTCGGACTGTAGCGGTCGAACTGCAGCGTCCGGATTGTAGTATCTGTACTGTAGCGGCCGCTGGCGGTCAGTCGTGTGCCCTAAAACTAGTGTCCGTGACATCACAGCGCTAATAGATCACAAGCAAAGTCGGTATAGAGGGGATTTCGGTGTCCTCATATCACGAAATGAATTAGCAGTGTTCCATATAGATACATGATTTCAAAGTTTCAGTTTGTATATTGTGTTTCCGGTCGAATTAAAGTAAATAGCTCCAATCATTGTTATTATTATTAGTGAAATGCAGTTGTATGTGTACAGACGGACACCTCAAAACGTGACAACGTCCCAAAACGATTGAACTCTGGACAGCTAGTACGAGAACTGTGCAAGGAGCTGAGGACTCTGGAGAAGCGACTGTTGAGCAGCTCTAGTAAGGATAAGGTGAACGAATTATCTCTGCATGTAATAGATAGGTTACACGGGTCAACATCAAATTTCACTTTGATTGCAAAGCATAAAATTTTGATATTTTAGATCGTAATTAGACGGAAAAAAAAATACATGGTATGAAACGGTTTGCTTTTGAACTTTAATAAATTGACCACATATGAAACAAAATGCATCAGCATCGTATTTACTTTCGTGACATTTTAAGTTTTTCTGAGTTTGTACATAACACCTGGTCGTTGTTTATGACTCGAGTGCCATCTAGTGGCACTGTGTAAACGTAGACACCCCACTCTCATAGCGCGGTTTTTTCGAAAGTATTAAAATTTGTAAAAAAATTGAAAAATTAGTATTATAACTATCACAAAAGCAAACTTTATACAAAAAAAAAGGTATTTTATTTTCGTTTTTGTGAATAATTAACCGGAAAACCCTAGTATAAACGTTAGGGCAAAGAACGAAAAATTTTTGTAGAGTTGTGTTATAATTAGTTAGTTGAACGACATTAACACGCATTGTCCGCTTTAGTCGGCAGCAGTCGCCATTCTGTATATCTCTGTCACACAAGATCAGGAGTTTCGGTTATGAGGGATGGGGTAGCCACTCTATAATACAAGAGTCGAGGAAGGTGGCAGTAATGTGTTTAACCCTTTAAATGTCGTGTAGGTCACCGGTGCCCTACGTAGCGCACTGAAGTAACTATATCGATTTCTCTTATCGATCTTACTAAAGGCACCGGAATATCTAGTAGACTGGGAAAGATGAATCCGAAGATACTGAAAATGAATCGTATTTCTAGTAGAGCTAAAAGACAAAAACATACATTAATAAACAAAAGAAGGCAAAGTTTGGCAATTTTTACTGGTGGTAGGACCTCTTGTGAGTCCGCACGGGTAGGTACCACCGCCCCGTCTATTTCTGCCGTGAAGCAGTAATGCGTTTCAGTTTGAAGGGTGGGGCAGCCGTTGTAACTATACTGAGACCTTAGAACTTATGTTTCAAGGTGTGTGGCGCATTTACTATGTAGATGTCTATGGGCTCCAGTAACCACTTAACACCAGGTGGGCTGTAAGCTCGTTCATACATCTTAGCAATAAATAAAAAAACCAGGTGCTAAGTAACAGAAATCGACGTAATTACTTCAGTGCGTCGCGTAGGGCACCGGTGACCTACGTGGTAGTCAACAGCTTAAATCAAAGTATAAAAACATGTGAATAGACCGTAAAAATGTTATAATATAATACAATGATAATTAATGTCTTTTGTTGGTTATGGTATTATTTTTCCAAAGAAAACACAGTTCAATTAATTTTTTACCTTGTGTGAAAAATATCTGCACCGTACTTTGAGTATTTTGTTGAAAAAATTCAAGGCAACGCTAAAATTCAAATAATTCTATTATTTTAGGATTTCAAAATCAAAAGTCAATCATCGCCCAACAAAACCCTAAAGAAGCACTCTAGTTCCACAAGAAAGCCCTTGAAGCTGACTTTGCCCAAACCGATAATGCATATGACTCCAAACGGCGACTTCATTGAAGAGAAAATCTATTCGGAAAAATTCTACATAGACAACAAAGATGGCGGCTACCAAGACAGGTATTTGCAGAACGTAGAGTACTCGAATGGGTTGCCAGATGTCAAATATTTAGTCGAAGGCAAAGAGATGGTGTTGCCAGAAAAATATGCATATCAGAATTACGAAGAGGTTCAGAATTACTCTGAGGCTAATGGTTACGTGGAGAGGAGCGATAAAAAAGTTTTGAAGATTAAAATGAAGTGAGTATATATATATATATTATGTATAAGAATCTGGTAAAATCTATACTCATGTTCTAGATGTGAATATTATATTTGGTAATTTGTTTGTGAATTACGCAACAAAGGCCTAATCGATATCGCCAAGTTATTTAATAATACAGGTATAACATAGGAAGAAACCTATAGTCACGGTAGTTACGATCTGGGCAACGTTGGTTAATCTGATACAGTAAATACAACCATATTCATGATACCGATGGACTGTTGGTTACGGGTAAGACAGCGACAGAAGTAATTTTCTCAATTATAAAATCAATTATACACTCTTGCAGTTATCATTTTTAGAGTTACCACCAGTGATTACGCAAATTATAATTTTGCGGGTTTAATTTTTATTACACGATGTTATTCCTTCACCGTGGAAGTCAATCGTGGGCATTTGACAAGTACGTATTTCATTAGAAAAATTGGTACCCGCCTGCGGGATTCGAACACCGGTGCATCGCTAGTTAGATACGGATGCACCGGACGTCTTATTATTTAGGCCACGACGACTTCAATTATATTATAACATTTATTAATATTGATACAGACGTAATTTGTGTCTGAACAGTTTTCTATTTTTTCAGCAACTCGCCGTCGTCATCCCGAGACGAGGCTCCACCCCCTTACCCTCTTCCGGAACATTCCATTCTAAAGTCCCACCTTATCCGAGCAGAGCCGCCAGGCCTGAAGCCGATAAATCAGTGGACGATATCCAAGAAGGACATCGGGGACTACCACGAGGAGCAGATACTGTTCACCAACGAGAACGTGCAGGCCAACGTGCGCGTCGACCCGCAGGACGTCGGCTACGGCGCGGGTGAGTGGCGGGGCGTTGGGAGGGGGGAGAACCTCGGTCAGACAATAGTACCATAGTATTTTTTTTTTTTTTTCGCGTGGGCGTGGGGAAATCCTCGTGGATACCCAAGAGCCCGGGCCAATGGGCATGCCCGACTCCACTGAGAAAGTGTCTCAGTGACCTACGGACTAAAACCTCCCTCCTGGTTACCTGTCCCTTTTTATTATGGGACAACCTTTATCCCTATGTTAGTCATTAGCCATTTTCAATTTACATGCTGTTCATAGTAGTGTGGTTAGTCCAATGTGCCATAAGTAAGAAACCTTTGAAGATAATATTGAGGTGCGAAAATCTATTTGGCTTAAGCTGCATTTGTTTAATACGCGACATTTATCTTTGTATCATCTGTGTATCAACAATTCGGTATTTTTAATGAAACTTGAATTTTTTTTTTTTTTATTGTTGCACAAAACAAATTACAATCATTACAGTACATATTAGCTAAATCTTACAAGTAGTACCTAGATCTTATCTGGATTGCAATCTAAATAATATTTTATGTGCACTCAGCAAAACTATATTAATGTGCATAGTTTTGGCTATTGAAAATACAATTGAAATTACAAATATTGATAACTAGCCATTGTTAAATAGGATATCCTTCGCACATCTGACAAATCCCCTGAGTCTAGGTTCAAAGGTATCAAGGCTACCGTGACACTTAGCCAAATCATTATACTGCCCGACCATTCTTACCATAGGGTTATAGTCCCTATGATATTTTATTTTTATATTAAGTTTACCCCATTTGAATAGCTGAAGAAATTTTTTGTTATGATATTTTTTCAAATTTTACTCTTTAAATAGCTCTCCGGTGCTGTTGCAAAAATGTCGCATACATCAAATTGCCTTTCAACCCTCGATACGCTATTTGCCATTTTAGTTCAAGCAGTGATCGGTCAGTAATGTTCCTCTTGAATTTGTACGATGTAATTTTTTTGTTTAACATTGATTGGCAACAAAGGTAGATACCATTAAATAGCTCTGTAAATACAAATAAATATTTTAATGTTTTTTTTTGTTGCTTAGATGGGTGGACTAGCTCACAACCCACTTGGTATTAAGTGTTTACTGGATCCCATAGACATCTATGACGTAAACCCACCCACCTTGAGATATAAGATCTCAGTATAGTTAAGACTTGGTCGCCCTGTACACACTTGGCGACGCACCGTAGAGAGTGAGATGAGGACTGCCAACGTGACCTGGAGTGATGTCAAGGAGCAAGCGCAAGACAGGGTAAAGTGGAGACAACTTGTGAGGGCCCTATGTACCAGCGGGATACCCTAGGACTACAACAACAGTATAGTTACAAAGGCTACCCCACCTTTCAAACCGAAACGCATTACTGCTTCACGGCAGAAATAGGCAGGGCGGTGGTACCTACCCTTGCGAGCTCACAAGAGCTACCACCAGAGGTTTTGCGGGTTAGATTTTTATTACACGATGCTATTCCTTCACCGTGGAAGTCAATCGTGAACGTTTCATTAAGTACGTATTTCATTAGAAAAATTGGTACCCGCCTGCGGGATTCGAACACCGGTGCATCGCTACATACTAATGCACCGGACGTCTTATCCTTTAGGCTACGACGACTTCATTTAACATTTAACGACAATTTATTTATAAAAACTAATGCGAAAATGCTTTACATTTCTTGAGATTATCAAAACATTTAAAGATTAGAAAACTCACACTCTACGAGCCACGAAACCATGGCGAAGGAAGTGACAGAAATGTTGACAGCCAGTGACAGTTATTCTCAATAAATTTGACACTATCTAAGGCAGCGGTCGGGGAACTTTTTTAATTACTACCCCAAAATATTTTTGTGTAAATTGATATTACCCCATGGCGAAATACAAAAAAAACTAAATTGCTCCTTTTTAGCATCTTTCATATTATAGCCTCCATGATAATTTAAAAAGAAAACAATAACTAAAAATTTAATTTAAACGTCATTTATTTAATTAATAAATGTAATACCTAGTACAATATAAAACGGTAATAATAGTAATATATGTAATATACAGTTGAGGAAAAAAAATCGCTCCCACAGGAAATATAAGTAAATGATAAAATAATTTATTGTTTTGAGTTTGAAATCACAACGATTCTAAAGAAGTTTCACTTTAATATATACTTTTTACTCACAAACGTTTCATTTTTACCCTCCAAAATTTCATTTTACCCCATTTGGGGTAATTTACCCCGGTTCCCCGACCGCTGATGTAAGGCTTATGCCTTTTAGCTTATACAGCCAATTTATACTTATAATGGAATGAATAGAATAAATAATATTTCTAACAATCTGTCCATCGACATTTGTTCCAGGGATGTACTCAGCTGAGGACATGCAGCCGGAGTACCAGTACCCGGAGACTGCCAAGCCGGGCTCGTTCCAGGACTACACGTTCAGGCCGCAGCACGTGTCCTACTCCGTGCCTAACTACCAGCGGTTCGCGGACGGGCCCGCCGCGCAGGTGGGGACCGTGAACTGAAGACATGAGTGGATGAAGGGGATATATATCGACGCTTGAAAGGCAAACGTGACTAAGCGACAATGCGTGAACTTTACAGTAGACTAATTTAAAGTCCAAATACATGAAAAAAAATTATATTTTAACGAATCTAGCTGTAGGATTGAAATGATTTTAATAGACCTAAAAATATTTTTTTTTGCGCATCGTATATGGTTATTGCCTGTCATTTATGTACAAATCAGTTATTGTCGCTTACTCACGATTGCCTTTCAAGGGTCGATATACATATCTCAAGGTGGGTGGCGCATTTACGTGTCGTAGATGTCTATGGGCTCCAGTAACCGCTTAACACCGGGTGGGCTGTGAGCTCGTCCACCCATCTAAGCAATAAAAATAAAAAAACGAATTTTCCATCGGATCTAAATCGGGGGTCTAGAAATACCGAAAGTGGGATTCGGGGATCCGAAAAGACATGTTTCGGATGACAGAGGTTTTGGGTTGCCCCGTCGTCTCGGTAATAGGTAATTAGAGGCGGCCACGATAAGAGGGTTAATTTTATTGAGAATTTAAGGTTCCGTACCAAAAATATTAAATATCATTAAATTCTAATTGAAATATCTAATTTAGTATATGACTGGTATTTGTAGTATATTTTTTCCGAACACAGGATCAAAATTACAATGAAGTTACGGTGCAAGACACGCTGAACGGGTCGTACCAACAGAACCAGCTACCTTCATACGACGTGGCGATAGCACAACAGTACGGGACCAGTAATTATGTGAGTTTCATTATTTGTATTGAAATACCCGCGTCTATCTGATTTGTTAGGCTGCGGAACTCAAGTATTGATAGGCTCTGCGTGAAGTAAGTGCTGGTGATGAGTACCTCCCCATATTTATTTCTGTCTAGAAGCAATAATTCATTGGTTTTTAATGTAAAAAATATATTATCATGTAGATTTACTTAATACTAGCACCCGCCCTCGCTTCGCTTCGGAAACATTAAATTCTATTATTGATAGTTAAGTCCCGCGATCTTACCCGCGGGTGTCGCCGCGGGGCGAAGCTAGTCTAAAAAAAGTTACTCCTTATATCATCAGATACCTATCAGTGAAAGTCCCGTCTAAATCGGTCCAGCCGTTCCAGAGATTAGCCGGAACAAACAGACAGACAAAAATTGTAAAAAATGTTGTTTTGGTGTATGTACCGTATATATATTCATATGCATGTAGTAAAAAAATTTTTATTTTTTTTTATTTTTTTTTTATTGCTTAGATGGATGGACGAGCTCACAGCCCACCTGGTGTTAAGTGGTTACTGGAGCCCATAGACATCTACAACGTAAATGCGCCACCCACCTCGAGATATAAGTTCTAAGGTCCCAGTATAGTTACAACGGCTACCCCACCCTTCGAACCGAAACGCATTACTGCTTCACGGCGGAAATAGGCGGGGTGGTGGTACCTACCCGTGCGGACTCACAAGAGTGTCCTACCACCAGTGATTACGCAAATTATAATTTTGCGGGTTTGGTTTTTATTACACGATGTTATTCCTTCACCGTGGAAGTCAATCGTGAACATTTGTTGAGTACGTATTTCATTAGAAAAATTGGTACCCGCCTGCGGGATTCGAACACCGGTGCATCGCTTCAACACGAATGCACCGGACGTCTTATCCTTTAGGCCACGACGACTTCACGTTGACGAGCTTCAAAAAGCTGTTATTTCAATATTACAAACAGACACTCACATTTTATTTATATGTATAGATAATAAGACAAACATTTGTTGAATGAATAGCATTTTGTCGCCTATTTATCATTTGATTTTGGTGTTTCTTTGTTAATAGTTTAATTAATTGTAAATTACAATAATAAAACAAAACGAAAAAGTTTAATAGTGAATACCGTACAATCAAGTAGTTTTAATTTTCTCTACGACTCACGAACTTCAAAGAATTGATGAGTTTACCACGATAATAAGGTTCACTGTTTACGAGGCTTCTTAAAATTAACAGATTGTGCAACAGATTGTGTGTGTGATGGCCGCGCGTGTTCTTGATTAACCCTTTGACTACCATGTAGGTCACCAGTGCTATACGTGGCGCACTGAAGTAATCATGTCTGGATTGCCTAAGTTTGCCTTCTTTTGTTTTTAATCTTTTAGGTGTCTTAGAAATATATTCATTATTATCAGTGTCTTCGGATTCGTCTTCCCCAGAGTCTACTAGATATCCTAGCCCCTTAGTAACAGTAATCGACATAATTACTTTAGTGCGCCACGTATGGCATCGGTGACCTACACGACAGTCAAAGAGTTAAAGGAGGGTTCTTGAAAAGGACGCGCTAACAAAAATTGTGTGTAGTGGGCGGGGACGATCGCAGGGTCAGTCGGTGGCGGAAAGAATATAGCGGCGCGTCGCATCGTTCGTTAACATTCACTTTACCGTTGCTAACTGTATGCAGGTGGTGGAAGAGCAGAAGACGGCCGCGCCGGCGCCGGTGCGTCGCTCGGAGCGGCCGGTCCGGCGCCGCGTGTCCAACACGTACGACTACGAGGACTGCGACCTGTACATCGACGAGACGCCGGCCCCGCGCCGGAGGAAGCCCTCCGGCAAGAACAAGACGCACTACAAACAGAGCCCCGGTGAGAGAACTGGCCGAAACCTTGGGTCATGAATGAAAGTACGAGAGGAATAAATGTGAGAACTGGTATGATAAAGAGGCTCGGAATGAATGCGTGACCTAGCTTTTAAGCCCTTTATGGGCAGGAGTATAAAGTATAATTAAAATTAAAACAAAAAAAAGGTAAATTAAAAATCTCTGGCTTTGTTGTGCTAGAAAAAGAAAAAAACCTTGGGTCATTGCAGAAGGAAATTTTTTTTAGGGGATTTTATGACCTGGTAACTAAGGCCTTTAAGTCATGTCTTATTTTAATTTACTTTTGTATTTTTATAAAAAACGATAATATGAAATGAAATGAAGATGATTAATTTGAGACGTTAATCAACTGGGAACTTTTTACTGGTGGTAGGACCTGTTGTGAGTCTGCACGGGTGGGTACCACCACCCTACCTATTTCTGCCGTGAAGCAGTAATACGTTTCGTTTTGAAGGGTGGGGCAGCCGTTGTAACTATACTGAGACCTTAGAATGTATATCTCAAGGTGGATGGTGCATTTACGCTGTAGATGTATAAACATCTAGGGGGTTAGAAGCCCATATAGCCATAGGGGCTTTAGCAACCACTTAACACCAGGTAGACTGTGAGCTCGTCACAGTATCTAAGCAACAACAAAAAAATTAAATGAAATGAGACGATATGGGATGAAATATATTCTCAATAAAATGGTGGTCATTTACTGAGATTTTTTCAGTGCACTTTTTGGAAAATCCTGAGAAGTTACGTCCAGCGGCTTTGTTTCATTTTCCCACATTTTTGCACTTTCACGGACAATAACTACAAACAAACAAACAGTTAAGAAATCACCGTTATCACACATTTAAACCTGAACTTCATTTCTCGCGTTCCCGCCAAAAAGTGAAGGAAAATAATAACTGCGTTCTGATTTGTTTCCAGCAGCAAATGTCCCGTCCAACAACAACTACAGGCAGGCCGCCATACCGGCGCCGGCCAACGGTATCGAGTCGCTGATACAAGCTTCAGTGTTGGCTGAAGAAGAGGAGCAACCGGTTGACGCTACGTGAGTAATGTTACATTCGTTGTTAGGTTCGATATGTTGTGCAACAGAAATATACCGTCTATAATTTATAGACCCTAGAGAGTAACATAAATATCATCAATCTATAGAAAAAATATTTTAGTTTAGAAAAATATATTAGTAATAAAAGCTTGTCAAAAACTTGGCCTGTGTAAGTAATCATTTTATTGACAATCGTTTGATATGGGGTCGAAGCTTTTTTGTATTTTTTTATTTTTTTTATTGCTTGGTTGGGTGGATGAGCTCACAGCCCACCTGATGTTAAGCGGTTACTGGAGCCTATAGACATCTACAACGTAAATGCGCCACCCATCTTGAGATAAGCTCTAAGGTCGCAGTATAGCTACAACGGCTGCCCCACCCTTCAAGCCGAAACGCATTACTGCTTCACGGCAGAAATAGGCGGGGTGGTGGTACCTACCCGCGCGGACTCGCAAGAGGTCCTACCACCAGTAAAAAGCTCTACTTGCATTGACGTTAACCCATATGGCTTCACAACTTGCTCTACGGTTTTAGCTGATATCCTCTACTATTGCTACTTTATATGTTCTGACCGACAGGGAGGACGTGGCGGTGGCCGGCATGCTGAGTATAAGCGAACAGCGCTACACGGCTCCCCGGACCTTCGGGCTGGCGGCGCACCGGGACCTCGCGCCCTCCACCTCGGCGCAGGACAGGTGCGGGACCCGACCCTACGTCGCGGGGCTCCACGTGCCCCCCGGGGACCCCTATGCAACTTTCATATATTGCTCTCATACGCATTTTGGCTAAACCAGTATTTCATGGGCGTTATTGTCATGTACTTGTCTCGGGAATGAGCTCTCCTCTTTGGTGTTACGTGAGCACTACAACGGCACCGACAATAACCGCTCATCATTAGACGAATCGTGTTAAGAAGTTTATCTTTTAAGGGCAGTAATAAAAAGAAAAAAATGGTGAGCAACTTGGTGCATGTCAAAGAAGTGAAACTTCTTTTACGGTGTGTAGTATTGTGGTATTCTTCATTTTTCATCTTTAAATCAAATTTCACTTGTAATAGGGAATGCTGTGTATAAGAGAAAACGATCTAGCTTGCTATGTCCTTTCCCTCTCCACGGTCGAATTGTTCGTGTGACGCTCTCTCTATTTTCTCACTCTCGCTCGTCCTAAATTTTATCTTTTCTCTCTAGCCGTAACGAATATGACGCGAGTCAAGTTTCACTTCAAAAAGTAAATTTTTTATTAAAATTACAGCAGTAGCAGTACACCGAGTGGCAGTAAAAGAACGCGGAAACCGGCTCCCATCGCCGGCCACTCCGATGAGGACGTAGCCGAGGAACAAGACATCATCAAGGAGGTGCATCGAGACGAAGAGTACGGTGAGGCAGCACTGCACACTCGCCCCCCCCAACCCCCCCTCGCGGCGGCCGGTACTCGCTGGCTATGTGACGCGCCTGTCGGATCATATACACATGACATTATATCGACACCAATGTGGATACTACAACATGCCTTTTTTTTCGGGTCGAAGCCTTACTTACTGGTGCTTATTTACTGGTGGAAGCCTTTTTTGCTGGTGGTAGGACCTCTTGTGAGTACCACCACCCTGCCTATTTCTGCCATGAAGCAGTAATGCGTTTCGGTTTAAAGAGTGGGGCAGCCGTTGTAACTATACTTGAGGCCTTAGAAGTTATATCTCAAGGTGGGTGGCGCATTTACGTTCTGGATGTCTATGGGCTCCAGTAACCACTTAACAGAAGGTGGACTGTGAGCTCGTCCACCCATCTAAGCAATAAAAAAAAACCTACAAGGTCCCCTCGCCTATGGGGTGCGCGGGGTATGTGAGACTTGACGATCTGCAGGTGTTGGGAGCAGACCGCGGGCCCAAGGAATTTGTGGGGCCCACCCACTAAACGACTTTTCTGCACTCTTGCACCCGCCGTTCGATATACGTTCAGGGTCAAAACCCGGTCAGAATAGGAGACACTACAACGTGCCTGCCTTTATGAGTTCTCAACTGTTTAATGTATAAATATGTTAAATACATCACGGTATTATTACAGTTAAACGCAGCTGCCTCGAAATTATGGGACAGTTTTTGTCTTAAATTTTTAGATAGAGAACTTGATCCACGAACTCACTTGGGGTTGAGTGGTTACCGGAGATGGGGGCCTCCACAGCGCGGGAGTCGTCTTGAGACATGAGGTCTCAGATTGCTTGTAGAACGACTGTCCGCTTCATAGCTATTCGGTTGATTGAATGCTCTCTTCACCATAGATTAGGATCTAAAATTTTTCATCTCTATCCCAAATGTAACGATCCAAGTAATTTTATATTAAAGCTATATCTCAACATAAAAAGCTTTGTTTATATAATCTCACGAAGCGTGTTGCGGATAATAATATGTACTTTTAGGTTATTAAAATAATATTTTGTGTAAATGTTTGGAAATAAACTTATTAGTATAATTAAGTACATAATTCAAAATATATTAAAAGCGTATGTTTAATTAGAGATTGTCTTTTGCAGTGTATCCATCGTTAGAAATGAGTTCGGATGAGGAAGACGACTGGGCGCTGTCGCGGCGGCGGCGGACCTCCAGGAAGGTCGATAAGACCAAGGGCGATAAGTAAGTTTAACCCGTTTAATATTTTTAGTAATTGAATTTTACATAAGTATTTCATCATTTCCATTGGCATATTCAAATGAGAAGTAATGAAATGTTCAGCAATTATAAAATTTGGTGAGCCACAAAAAACAGCATTAAAATAATTTGGTCGGCATACAAAGATTTGTTTGCAATTAAAAAATCAGGTAGCAATCCTTGTTCCGCAAATAATTTTGATAACGGTCAAAAATTAGATCATAAATAGGCAGCGTACAAAAACATGAGTTTGCATAATAAAGATTCATTCCGCCAAATAACTATTTGATCAGCAAGATTTCATAATTGTATTTCAAGGTACGTTAAAAGTGCGCGGAGTAAAAGCAGGTGCGTGACACGAGGAGCCAATCGCTTATATTTATTTTCCTACCTATGCCTTGAGAGGCTATTTTAGCTTCGCCCTAAGATGATAGATGCGTTGACGAGATCACAGCCCACCTGCCATCTCTCGGGAATCATGCCGCGTTTCGTTTAGCTACCAAACTAATTACCGTTTCCGACATATATGTAGATAAAAAGCTGATTTATAAACTGTCTATGGTGCTGCAGGGACGAGGCGTGGTCGCCGCGCGCCCGCCTGGGCCGGCTGGTGCCGCGGCTGCGCGGGCCCGCGCGCGCCGGCGTGCGCCGCGAGTGCGTGCGCGCCGCGCTGCACCACGCCGCCGCGCGGGACGACCTCGTGCAGGCAAGGGACTATCCATATATAGCTTTCGTTACTAGTTTTTTAATTTAATGCAGACGAGCATACGGCCCACCTGATGGTGAGTGGTCGCCCATGGACTTCAGCAATGCCAGGGGCAGAGCCAAGCCGCTGCCTACCTACTAGAGAACATTTTTTTTAATTTAGAAAACTAGTAACGCCATCTATTGAGTGTTATTGGGAACATACGTAGTGTGTTAACACATTCGTCGCTACGTCACACCCGATCCTGTGGACCGAATGGTAAACAGTCGACGACGCCCTAAACACGTTATTACGGATCCTCCCGATCCATTAATGGTACTTTTATGTACCTCAAGCCGTCGCTTGCGACGAAGGGCTCGACAAGTAAATTAACCCATAGACACAGCCCACTGAGGTTCTCGCCAGATCTTCTCAGTGGGTCGCGTTTCCGATCCGGCGGTAGATTCTGCGAAGCACTCCTCTTGCCAGGGTCAGTGCTAGCAATACTCCCTGTGAGCCGTGTGAGCTCACCTACACGCTAGGGTAACGCTGATATAGCCTCTCAAGGCTGTCAGCATAGGTAGGAAAATAAAAAAAGTTAACTAAAGTCATCGTATTGTCGTTTTTCACAGAACGCGAAACGCGCCGTGCTAGCGACCAAGAGCAGACGGCCGCCGCCGCCCGCGCACGCCGCGCCCAGCAACAAGAGTGAGTACGGAGCTGAAACACGAGCCATTGAGACTCGACCTCATGTCTCAAGACGGCAAACGCCTTGTATACAGACGAACTTAGTGCCATAAAGCATTATAAACCTGTTGACACTGATGCATAGTAATTTTTTTTTGACATATAAAATAAAGAAACAGATTTAATATTACTGGTGGTAGGACCTCTTGTGAGTCCGCACGGGTAGGTCCATCACCCTGCTTATTTCTGCCGTGAAGTAGTAATGCGTTTCGGTTTGAAGAGTGGAGCAGCCGTTGTAACTATACTGAAACCTCAGAACTCATGTCTCAAAGTGGGTGGCGGCATTTACGTTGTATATGTCTATGAACTTCGGTAACTACTTAACACCAGGTGGGCTGTGAGTTCGTCCACCCATAATAAATAATAATATACGCAAAAATGTCTCCAAATAGGTTTTTTTTTTCTATCAAATTGTTGGTAGCCTAAAGGGCTATTCCAACTACGCCCGGTGACTGATCTAGAGAGTGTGTATAGTTATATTTTATTGTACATCAAAATATTACACTGATACAATGTAATAAGCACATCTGATTTATTTGTGCGTATCTTCAGCTCTTTGGGAAACATCATCATCATCATCATTTCAGCCTGTCGCCGTCCACTGCTGAACATAGGCCTCTCCAATAGATTTGGGAAACATACAGACCGTATATAGAAACAATATCTATATATATGTTTTTGTTTGTTTTCGATACGTTATTTAGGCGATTGCGCGCATATGTACAGTTGTCCAATTATCAAACAAACTTCAAATTCATGTATTTCATATACTTATCAGGTATCATAATGGAGTGATCTGTCATAATAATAATAAAACTCATTTTTTCGTTACAGATATAAGACTGAAAAAAGGCATGAAAACCGCCAAACAACGGTTAGGAAAAATCCTTAAAATACACAAAATGATATATTAATTATATTTTAATATTTAAACGATTTTTTTTATCAGATTACTGTTGGATTCATAGAACTAATAATACAGTCATTACGTACATAAAATACGTAATATTAATAACTGAAGATCTACAATGCCATTTATTAAATATTATGTAAGGTTCCAAAACGTAACAAGTCCTTAACACAGAGCAATGGAAAATGACATATAATTTCTGAAATAAATAAAAACGAGTAGATAAGAGAAATATAATATAAATTTTAGTGTAATAACGGTGCAAATTCGCGTAGATGCGAATTTGAGACTTGTTACCTTTTGGAATCGAGGCATTGTCGATTGTCAGTCTCTATAGTCGCTGCGGCTACAGAGGATTCTAATTTTGAAATTGGATATTATTTAGTAAATGGAATTATCTGTGTATCTCTGTCCCGCATTTATAAATTTTAACGTGTCAGAGCGGGACAGCAGATCCCTCAACAATCTGTCAATCGGAACAGTAATTTGATTTTTAAAAAAAATATAAAAGAAGAACATTAATGTGTGTGCGTGTTTAATTGTAAATTTTTTATAAATGTATGTATGTATGTATAGATGTTATTGCACGGACCAATGTGTGTGTTTAAAGCGATTTTTTATTTTTGAACGAACTGCGCCGATGGAACTATTGTGGAGTTAGATCCTCTTTGGGGTGTGGAGTGACGTGATAAATGCGTTTGCTGGTGATGATGATGTGAATGTTCTTATATGACGAGCTCTTGCTACGATTTTCGATTTTAATTCCCGATACTTTAACTATCTCTATCCTTTACGCCGGCTTATTCCGCGCGGGTAGGTACCACCACCCCCCTATTTCTGCCGTGAAGCAGTAATGCGTTTCGGTTTGGAGGTTCACATACTAATTACTAAAACTCGTATGCGGGAAAGGGACAGAGCATCAAACTTAAATGTCTTAGAATCTCTCACCCCGATTTGAATCAATTCTAAACAGAAGAGATCCTTTACAATATTTCCATCGTGCGCATTCAAAACCCGACCTTATTGCAAGCCTTATCAGTGTATAGACAAACCTTTAGATGTGTAGGTTATAAAAAGATGTATTTTGTAATATAGTCTAAACTTGTATGAAAGCAGTTATTTTTTTTTTTTTTGTTTATAAAATCGATTTTGGAACATTTTGTAATGCATATTTTCTCTTGACATTGTTTTTTTTTTTTATAAGATTGATGATGTTGATGATTTGAAGATGTTGTTTGTTTTTTTTTTTTTTTTGTAAACTTGTAATGAATTGTTCCCGCAAGCAAAACATTGTATGATCTGATTCGTTCTATTATTATTTAGTGTTATAAGAGATCCGTTAGCGACCGGAGGGAGTTCTGCAGTATCACGTGACGTCATCAAAGACAGATCAATTTTTTTTTGTAAAATTTGTTGAGCAAAGGGTTTTCATGGGGTGGTATATATTGAGATGTGAAAGGTATTTGAATTATGGGCATTTTCCTTAATACGCGACATTTATCTTTGTAATTCAGAGATGCTGAAGAAGATTTTTTATTATGATAAATAAATATTTTCAAAACTTTATATGGCTCTCGTGTAAAGTTGAGAAATGTCACTTAAACCAAATAACTTTTCATCTCTAGATATATGAGAGTATAGTAAACGGAAATCACTGCTCATATGTTCTACTCTTATAAATGTGTGGGAGTCCGTATATAGTCCCATCTTTATTTCGCGTGAAAATCGTGTTTCTGGATCACTCGTAATTAACACCATAATCGAAACAATAGGAGTTCTATTGTTGCAGCGGCCTACACAGTTTCAACTTATACACGTGGTAGGACCTCTTGTGAGTCCGCGCGAGTAGGTACCACCGCCCAGCCTATTTCTGCCGTGAAGCAGTAATGCGTTTCGGTTTGGAGGGCGGGGCAGCCGTTGTAACTATACTAAGACCTTAGAACTTATATATCAAGGTGGGTGGCGCATTTACGTTGTAGATGTCTATGGGATTCAGTAACCACCACAGGTGGGCTGTGAGCTCGTCCACCTTACTAAGCATTTTTTTTTTTTTTTTCGTCTTATGTATTTTCGGCGGTAACAAAAATCTCGTGTCACAGACTATCTTCTTTTCTCCACCTCTCGTGCGTTCTTAACCGCCACAGATGTTTATATAGACGACTAGCTGTACCCGTCCGCTTCGCTGGGCATTTAAAATTAAAATTATTATTTTTCACCCCCACAAAGATTCTCATCATTAACGCCCCCGCAACGGGTGTAAGGAGTCCAACGCTCAGATAAATATTAGCCTATCCATTAAGTACATGTACTTTCTACATGTATACCAAGTTTCAAGTCAATCGGATGCACGGTTCAGTAGTTATAACGGAACATCCGTAAAAACCACTGTAGATTTATATATTAGTATAGATCATTGCCTCAATTGAACCCGAGAGGTGGTCGTCGCGTTTGTAACAGTTCATCTTTTTGAATCATCCCAATCATCATATTTGGCTTTGGATAAACAGGAGTTCGATGGTTTTAGAGCAGCGATCGGGGAACCGGGGTAAATTACCCCAAATGGGGTAAAATAAAATTTGGGGGAGGGGGGTAAAATGAAACTTTTGTGAGTAAAAAGTATATATTAAAGTGAAACTTCTTTAGAATCGTTGTGATTTCAAACTCAATGAAACGAAATGATATGAAACGAAAGAATAATATTTTTTTTTTAAAATATCGTGGGGACTATAATATGAAAGATGCTAAAAAGAAGCGATTTGGTTTTTTTTTTTGTTCTTCGTCACGGTGTAAAATCAACTTACACAAAAATATTTTGGGGTAACAATTAAAAAAGTTCCCCGACCGCTGTTTTAGACGTTTGTGCCGTCATGGGTATGAGCAACAGTTTTGGGTGTACTCTGCTGTGAAGTCGAGCTGGTGTCCTCGCGTCTCGAGGTTTGTAATGGCGCTCGTTGATGTCCACGGGCTCGTGTAGCTGCCCCCGCCCCGCTGACGTCACCCCGTAGTGTGAAGTTAGCTCGGCGGCGTTTCACTGTCGAAAATAAAGTTTTGTTTATGCAACGCTCATTGATCGTTGTTTTAAAAAAAAAAACAAAAGACATAATATTTTCACAAAAAGTAATTTGTTATTCGTGACCCACCTGTTGTTAGAAAATGTACGTACGAGAAAACTTGAAATCTGTTATAAAAGAAAGGTTTTTAAATAATTGCAGTGTATTTTGTTGTTAGTGTCGGTTTTTTTTGCCCTATTGTTGTCCCTGTCTCTTCCAAGCTTAGAGGGAAGCTTGTCCCGCCTTTTGAGATGCTGCTGAGAGCTTAGTGTCACACAACATTGATTCTTTAGTGATAAGAAAGATGTGAGTGACGTTTTTTTTTAATTGATTTGCGTGAGTGCTTGTATGCGTTACGTTCGCGCCTTTTCTTCGGAAAGATTCTAGAAATTTCTAGAGAGAGAGAGAGTCTAAAGAAAACAAACTAGTGCTCGGGAATGGCATTTGTCGTGTTACGTAATATGAATTGGTTTCGGGAATGTTCTCGGTTGACAGTCCATTAACAGTGTGGATGTTGTAGGCAGTGGAAGTTTTAAAGCAAGTCTGCTCAACCAAACACACTTCGAATGTGCCGCCCAAGGAAAACAGCAATAGAAACATACCAGTTTTTGCTTAGTGTGAGTTTTTTAACGTTCTCGATTGCGTAAAAGTTAACTCATTTTTTTTTGTTTTTTTTCTACCTAAGCTGAGAGCCTTGAGAGGCTATTTCAGCGTAACCTTTACTAGTAGGTGAGCTCTCGGGGCGACGACGTTGCTAACACGAACCCTATTAAGAGCCGTGCTTCGCAGAATCTACCACCGGATCGGAAACGCGACCCACTGAGAAGATCCGACGAGAAACTCGGTGGGTTGTGTCTGTGGGTTAATTAACTCGTCAAGCCCTTCGTCGCAAGCGATGGGTTCGACGGGAACGATGATCGGTGCTTGAGGTATCTAAAAGCACCGTTAGTGGATCGGGAGGATCCGAAATGACGTGTTTGGGGTGATGTCGACTGCTTTCCATTCTGTCCGCAGGAACGGGAATGTCAAATTTGTATGCAGTCGGAACAGCACCCCTAGCGGCAAACGTAGGCAAACGTTCCAACTCCATACAAATGCAACTTTTACGTTATCGAGAACTTTAACACCGAAGTTACTTTGATTGTAACAATTATGGTAGTTTTCCAATGACAGCACAAGAGCGCATTATGCGGCATAATGCTCAACGTTGAATGTTCCAACTACAGCAACGCTTCGCACAATCGAGCACTCTCAGAAGTACTGCTCTCGCGTGATACTCGCAATCGATACCGACTCAGTGACAGAAAATTTACATGTGTTTTTTCTTTAAGTTGGCATTGATCGAAATTTTGTTTATATTATCGTTGGTAATATTATTTAATGTTGAAAAAAATTGTAAGGCTTTCGTTTCGTCGTAGTTTCTTAGAAATAATCAATGTTAATTAAAACTGTGCTAACTTAGCGCACTCTGCTGATGCATTTGAAAACTAATTTACGTTCCAATTAAGCTTCCACATAAATCGGCATTCTGCGTCACTGAGTCGCATTATGCTCTGTAATGCTCTGTAATTGGAAAACTTGGAAAACTACTTATATTATGCATTTGGTATTAATTAGATTTTTATTTGAAGATGCGTGTTATTTCGTTACAAAATCAATATGATTTATGTGGTGCAAGTAGCCAGCTCTATTATCGTTTTAATTATCAACATTACATTATATCGAATTTTAATAGTGCAAGGTTTATTTCAATAGGTACCTACAGTCAGGGGCCCGCCAAAATGTCGTATGTCTTATTTCAAAAAGCCTTAAACTACACCCCAAAATTTTTTTATATTTTTGCGGGTAGGTGATACGTGATAATACTGTTAGCCTAAACGTGTCAGTTATGAGGGTATAAGAAAAACACTAAAGCTCTCGAACATAATTATATATGATTCAGCCGTTTAAGAGGTTCGTCGGAACAAATATCAAATGAAATACAAAGTTCGGCATATATTTTCAATTGATCACTCGTAAATGTAATGCAGGAGAAAATTCATTATTTGAGGCCGTTGCACAGTTTTTTTTTCTTTCTGAACCATATAATACGTATAGTCGTTTCATGATGATGCCTATACAAGCTTGGAGTTTTTTTTTTTGCGTAGGATGGATAGCAAATTTGGAAGAAGTACGTCTTACTGTGTAATTATTTCAATGGTGTAAAAATATATAGGCCTCAGTTTTTTGGATAATCAAGCAGATATCTTTTAAATGATCACAATACACATTTCCTTCATGGCACTCTTAAAATTAGTCGTGAATATATGAAACGTGG